CTTCCACAAGGCTGCATACCCAGGCTATTAAACTGTGCGGCACCCGACCCAGCTTCTCATCCTCCGCCTGCTTTCCTCCTGGTAACATCTTACTGCAAAGCTCCCCAGACAGCACCTCCTCCACCAAGCTCTCCCTGATTCTTCCCTCCTTCTGCCCACCTCTGCACCCCTTGTGCTGGCCTATGACAGATGGGGCATTCTGCTGAGTAGTCAGTAGTTTCACTTGTGGACGTCATTTGCTTTCAGGGTAGCCAGTGACCAGCAAACATGTCCGAAGGATAATGATTCAGTACTGCCGTGACTAAGAAAAAAGGGCAGGCTGCTTGGAGTCCCCTCCTGAAAACCTATCACCTGGAAGAGCCTTTAGCTCCTTTCCTCCTCTGAAAGGATACAAATTGCACATGTTACAGGCAAGGACTTCAAACGATAAATTAAACCAAGGTGAAAAGCTCGTGAGGCAAAAAGCTTACTAACACCAAATAGAGTCAATTAGCAGAAAGGACCTGAGAAAGGGACAGCATGACAATCTGGAATGCTTATGAACAGTCAAAGAAGACTGCAAATTCACTGCTCCAAAATCACTCAGACTTTGTTGCCAGGCCCATCGGCAAAGAACAAGTATTTTCATTAGGCTAGCAGAGGAAGGATTTGTAGGGCTAAGGATTAACTTTGGCAAAGAAATGGGTAAAGTCAGTCACTTCCATGTGCGGCTTAAAAATATGGCCATGGGGTAAGAATTAAGATGTTACTCAGAATCTAACTTGGTGACGATGTCTGCATACCCCTAGAGAGAGAAATACCAGAAGCACATCAGGGAAACTCCGAGCTTGGGTAACTAAAAGCAATCTAATCTTATGAAAAGCCACAGAGAGGGAAGGTCTTGAAGCATAAAGAGCTTGTCCATCCTTACAACCATCCCGTATAATTGGATGTGTGTCCTTTTGTTAGACTTTGAAGATAGCAATTTAGTTCTCATTCATTAGAGTGATTTCAAATCACCCTATCAGATGTCTCAATTACCAAAGACTCCAAGGTCATATAACACCCAGGCGCCCTTCCTATCTGTTTTCTTCATCCTATTATAATTCCATTTTCTTCATTAGGAGCAGACTTATAATTCATGGGAAAATATCCCACAGAACCACAGAATGCCGGAGTTGGACGTCACCCCAGGAAGTGACTGACCGAGCCTCTCCATCTGAGGGAAACTGAGACCCTCCACCCGACCCCATGACTCAAACCCTTTGCCTGTGGCCACAGTGCTCAGGGCTATCAGGACCAGAGCAGTCTCCAGTCTTCCTTTCTCCAGCTCACTGTTTCTGTAATACCAAAGCAAAGCAGTGCAGGCACTCACTGGGAAATACGTGTTTGGACAAATGGCCAGCCCTGAGCACCATTTCTTCTCAATATAAATAAAAGAAATGCTTTGTGCATGCACTGTCGCCCTGGGAACATCCTCAGTGCAGTGTGTGAGTGTGTGTGTGTGTGTGCGCGTGTGTGTGTGTGTGTGTGTGTGTGTGTGTGTGTGTTATTCCCTGGAGCCAACTGCAGGAAGACGGACTATCGCATCACGGGAAGACAGCAGCCCTGCGCCTGGGAGCAGATGGTTCCAGAAAGCCAGGCACAGGCAAGAAAAGTGGCCCCTGCACCAGTTTAAGGGGGATCAGGATATTTTTTCCCAGCCTCGATGTGTCTCAGTGATTAGGAAAAGGAAAAGCAGAGACTCTGGAGGGGAGAAGTCAGTCAGGTGCCACTTTAACCAGAAGACAGAGGCGCCTATCCCCAGAAATAGGACAGACCAGGATGTGCTGATATGAAGAGTGGCCAAGGGCAGGCGCTTCACACCTGGGCAGCATTCTGTCCACACTTAAAGGCCCCCATTTAACCATGAGAATTACTAGGAAACGGGGTGCTCCTCTAGGTTCCCGGCTCATGTTCTTCACAAGGGTCCAGATCATGAAAAAACAGGGAAAACCAAAGAGCTGTCATGGGTTGGAGGAGACAAGCAGACGCACAACTACACGCGGCGTGGACTCCTGGGGTGGACTCCAGAACAGACAGAGGGCCTTGGCGGGAGGCTGGATGGAAATCAACCGAGTCTAGTTTAGGAAGTGGCTTTGTGGTAATGGTGGTTTCTGAGTTTTAATGACCGATCTGTGGTGATGGCAGGATATTAGCTTTGGAGAAAGCTGAGTGAGGCAGCTATGCAATTGTTCATCCTGCCTAAAAAAATTTTTTTGGTTTTTTCCAGACAAGGTTTTGCTATGCAGTCTCACTTTGGAGCCCAGGCTTGCCTTGAACTCAAGGCAATCTTCCTGCCTCAGCCTCTGAAGTGCTGGGGTTACAGATGTGCACCACCACGCCCTGGCTTAACATTACTTCAGAATTTAAAAAGTGGCTCACTGGCAGGCAGGAGCCAATGCAGAAGCCTTTCTTTCCTCTCCGACCCTCAGAATCACTCTGTATTCCTTTTTTTCAAAAGCAGTTTTCAGAAGCTCCCCTCTTTACTCCTTTATTCTGATTATTTGTATCCCTAGCTTCAAAAAAAAAAAAAATGGTAAAGCTTTCCAGGAAGAAAGCAGGGGGAAGCTTTATGACAGTGACGAGAGCCCAGGGCAGGGTTTTATCACAAAATAAATGCTCAATTTAAAAAACCCAACTCTGTCAAATAGAGGAAAGCGTCATACTCAACGGTCCACTTCACTCTTTTCATGCCTGGCCCTCCTGCAACCATTTCAGGCCTTGTCCCCCCTTGTGCAGCTTAGGAAGGACAGGGTGTGGGAGTGTCCTCATGTTCCCAGGGTTAAAAGACAAGGACCCTCTCCTCACCTGGGGCACTGTCTCAAGCATCGGAGCTGAAGCCCACACCCGCGTGTTTGGAGCTCCCGAGGCAAGGCCCCTGTTTCCCGCAGAGGAGGCGCCATGCCCATCTGCACTGCACCCCACCTGTCCCCCGAGCCTGCCAGCGAACACATGCAGGTTGTCTGCAGCCACATCTCCCTCCGCAGTGCGCGACCCAGCATGCTGCCCACATGCACCACACACTCAGCACTGAGAAGCAGAAGCTGTTCACACTTCCTGGGGCCCCTCCCGAAACTGGGAAAAGGTTCGAGGGTCTTCTGATGTCACCTCCTCCAAGAAGCCTGCTCCAGGCACCTCTTAGACAAGTCTGCTCCTCCACAAAAGCAACCACTTCCTGCTCAGAGGTACCTGTGTGCCCAGGAGGTGAGTCTAACACTCGCTTTTAGTGACCTCTCTACACGTCCACCCCGACTACACCAGGGGCTCCGCGAGCGCAGTCACTGAGCTCTCTTCACCACGCACCCCTTGACCCTGGGAGGACACTGCTGAGCCCACGAAGACTGCTTCCCAGTCTCTGCTTCCTTCACCAAGGCCCTTGCTGTGGTGGCAGATACGACGTGGAACACACAGTCATCACCTAAGCCCCGTGAGCCACACCACAAACTGTTCCTCGGGTCCTCTGCAAGCCCTTAGGTCTGGTGGCAACTTGCAGTAAAGGAAGGCTCAGCATACTGACAAAGCACGAAGTGATTATCTGCTGACAGTCTGATTGCACTGAGCTCTGCAGCGAACTTATGATATTTAGCCTCCAGACTTGTGGATCCAATCTCTTTCTTCCCCGCTGTGAGCACAAATGCTCCAGAAAGGACAGGAAATGAACTCACGCGGCCATGCCAGTAGGAGCTCCAGTGACACCCACTCCGGTGATACCACTCGAGCCTTGAAATCTTCCTGAAGTCTCATTAGAAACTTCGTCCCAGCCACCTGGTGGGAGCAGGTGTCCTCCATTGCCCTCGACATTTGCCAAGACTTACAGTGGGTCCTGAATCTGTGGTTATTCCATTCCTGTCCTGCTGGTCACCCAAACGAGAAACCTTAGCCTCTCGTCGCTGACCTCTTCCCAATGCCACACCTTTCACTTGTAAACTCCTACTCCAGCTCTGATGCCACACTGGTTAACCTCCCCAGAGAAAACAACTGCATTATTTAGTATTTAATGTAACCACTCCCTCTGAGAAGGCAGAGACTTGCCTACTTATAAATGGCCTGCAGAGCACAATTTTGTCACTGAATCTCATTATTTAACTCTCATCGCTAAGTTTTCACGTGCGCATGTCTTGTATCTTTGACTAGACTACACAGTCAGCCTGGCTCATGTCACCCAGCCCAGTGTCCTGAAAGCTCAAGTCCTCTAAATCATGTGAGGGACTTCATCCTCCTGTACCAGCAGATGAAGGCTGCAGGATGATCCCACTGATCCTCCAATCCCAGTCACATCAGAAGCAGCTGGGAAGCTTGTTAAAAACCTAGATGGCAGCTGGGCGTGGCAATGCACACACCTGGAATCCCAGCACTCTGGGAGATGGAGGCAAAAGGATTCCAAGTTTGAGCCCTGCCTGGGCAACTTACTGAGGTCCTATTTCATGATAAAAAGGCCCGAGGGGAAGCTTCCTTGAAGGCTTGGGTTCAAATCCTAGTATTGCAAAAATGAGACAAAAGAAAAGCCAGATGCTCAGCTTGCCACCTGCAGAATCTGACTCAAAAGGCCTGGGAAGGGCCCCAGAAAAACCTGTTCTCCAGGAGGTGTCCCCTCCCTTCAGTTCACTGTGGGGTCCCCAAACACAGGAAGCTGTGGGTGCGCTGAGCTCCTGTGATTCTTTGCCCTTGAGAGCCTTCCTCTGGGGTGAGAGGTCACAGGGGAGGTCAGAGCTCACCAAAGGAGAGGAAGCTTGGAGTCCTAGTGGCTTCTCAGGGGACAGACTCCCACCTTGAGGGACAGCTGAGCGGTGACTGCATCTGGACAGCACCAAGTCTACTTATCTGCTCTCTCTGAAATGCCAGCAAGTCTGAAAGGCACTTTGTCCAATTAGAAGTGTGGAGAAATATTCATCCTGTCCCTGACAAAGATGAAGTGCTTCTTTCAAAGGCAGTGGTGGCAGCCTGCCAGCTTTAAGAAGTCCAACGGTTTCACATCGAGCCAGCAGTTATTAATTAGTTTTATTAGTGGCAGGTCCTTAATGCAAAATGACAGAGGAAGAGAGCGAATATCCCCATCACTACTAAAATACAAACTGTCCCAATTTAGGTTGTGCTGTCCCCAACATCTGTGGGCAACTCGCCAGGCCCAAGTAGGGAACGGTGGCAGTGGCCAAGTGCCTTTGTGCAGAGTTCCGGACTATTAATGGCCTGACAGAGACTCGGATACTTACCTCAGGTAGCTCTGGAGGGAAAAATCCACCAATTTTAATTATCAAGGAGGAAGAGCCTCCAAAGTGCTGGCAGGAGATCTCTGGGAAAAACAGGAGTCAGAGGAGGGGGACAGAGGTACAGTTCACTCCGACTCAGGAGGCCTCTGTCTGAGGCAGCTGCCTTCGGGGCACTGTGCGGGGCTGCTTTGCTAAGAATTAGTCTTACACTGTCAACCTGGTTCTTATGACCATTAATCACATTTGTATTTATAAGCACTAAGACAGGATAATCAAATCTCATGCTTCAAAGCATATGTTTATCACCACAGGCATAAAAAGGAAGGGAAAAAACTTTACAAGCCAGCACTGTTGGCAGGAACTGTGGTTTATCTGGTTGCTTCGCTGGAAGCACCCTACAGACTCTGGAGGACATTTCGGGAGGAAGAAGACAGAACTGCCCTATGTGCCACCCTGTTAGCATTTCTGCTTCTCTCCTGCTAGGCTTCAGGTGGGAATTTAAACCAGGTCTCCCAACATCTGCTCCATAGCACACTCCTTGAATCAATCAGCTTGATTTACTAGGACACGATATCCAACACTTACAAGTTTAAGAAGAGGAAGTTTAATTTGGCTTACGATTTCAGGGGGTCCAGTCCATGGTGAGCTGGCTCTCAGGCAGGAACATCACTGGGGAAGGGTGTCATGGAGCAGAGATGCTCAAGTCATGGTAGACGGGAAGCAGAGCAGAGCAACAGCACCGTGGAGAAGGGGCCAGAGACCAGATGTAGACCTGAGAGCACAGCACCATGGCCCTCCCAGACAAAACCATGGGTGGCCCAATCAGGATGGCAATTAGTCAGGCTTACCTGTCATACCCCTGAGGTCCTTGCCTCAGATCTACAGGATCTTCTTTTATTTTTGTGATACATTTCCCACCATGTCTTTTCTTTTAGCATCTTGGATATTCCCTGTGGTTCCCCTGTCAAATATCTTATAACCACACATACACACATACCAGGATGCACAGGCTTTGAGGAGATTCCCCATCTGAAGCACCCAAGAGCCACCTTTCTCTAGTGTAGAAAAGGCATGGAAATTATTTCTGTAGGAGGCCTGGGAGAAGACGTTTGAGTCTTTGTAGGCCCTCTGGTCTCTATGAGAGCGTTTGAGTCTTTGTAGGCCCTCTGGTCTCTGTGAGAGCGTTTGAGTCTTTGAGGGCCCTCTGGTCTCTGTGAGAGCTGCTCCCCTCTGCAACTCCAGGTGTGCAAAAATGGGTGTGGCTGTGTTCCAATAGCATTTTATATATAACAACAGGCACTGACAAAGCTGGGTTTGACAAGAGGGCAGCAGTGGCCCAATCAGGGACCAGGTACAAATGAGATCTGGGCAGGGCAGCTGCATGGGGAATTTCGAACATTCTGCTGAAAGGAGCACTTGCCTTCTCTGCAGCAGCATGGTTGACTAGGGTCTTCGCTGCAATTATGTCCACCACTTGTTTTGACAGTCCCATTTCACACTGTCTGAATAGCAAAACATGAGAAATAATCAGGAATAAACAGAGCTGCAGGATCAAAATCTCTCAAAGCACAAGGTCCATGATGGGGAGAAGGCAGGTGATGGAGGAGCCTGCTGCTTCCTGGTTTCCTCTGCAGCAAAGGAGGGTGTCTCGTATGCCATGTGTTCTCCAGGGTATTTGTGCAAGAAGCGCTTAATGAAGCAGGACATCACTCCTGACCCTTGAGTGGCCAGGTCAGTGGGGAAGGCCTTGGCATCTTTCTCAACAGGAAGAGCTAGGGCTGGGTAGCTAGGGCTGGCACAGTGCCTGCTTGACAAGCATGAGGTCATGAATTCGATTCCCAGCACCAGAAAGAAAGAAAGAGCTGATACTGTACTTGCTGAGAAAGGCAAAACTGTGCAAGCCCATCAGAACCAAAGGCACTACCAATCCAGTCCCAGACTTTCTAGAACAGAAAGAAGAAATACACAGCATTGCAGGAGGAAAGCAGAGCAAGGGGAATCCAGGCCTCAGGGCTGTGTCTTCTCAGCCTCTGGATTTGCAGTGCTCAATGAATGCAGAGGCCTATGCTGCTTCTTAACTTAATGCCTTTTCACATGCACGTGAGACGTTATAAAAGATGTTTAAATGAGGATGGGACGAGCTTTGCCTTTGCGGGGTTCATTGTATAATGAAAGAGAAAATGAAGGCCCAGAGTCGTAAGCAATAGGCAGCCTCCACTCACAGACTCCTGGGGGCTCGCTTGGCCTCCATGGACCTGTTTCACAGTGGGTCTTCTCCAGCCTGCGTTTCTGCTTTCCCAGATTTCAGAAGCTCGGCAGCAGATGACTTAAAGGATGGCAGGCGAAAGGACCTGCTACGGTGTAGACCTAGAGTATACCCCCAAAGTCCACTGACCCGTTAGTAGGGAAATACACTGTCAGGAGGTGGGGCGTGGGCAGGAGAGGAAGATCACTGGGGTGTTACCTGGAAGGGGACACCTCACTCCCTGGCTCCTCTCTTCTCTCTTTGCTTCCTGGCTGCCACTCACAGAAACACTTTCTCTGCCCGGCTCCTCTGCTATTCTGCACCACTGTCAGCTGACTATGGACTGAAACCGGGAGCCAGAATAAACCTCTCCTCCTTTAAGCTGCAGGTGGTGGACACTGGGTCTCAGTGACAATTCAGGGGAGGAAGAGAGGGGCCAGGTAGGCCAGAACAATGTCATCATTCCAGCAAAAAGGAAGGCTGCAACCTTAGAGGCCCTGGACCCGGGAGGCAGACTGCCTCTCCATCACAACTCCAGCAGTCTCCAAAATGGAACAGAAGCACCTACATTACTGATTGGGGTAAATAAATCAGTAATTCTATTCTATAGGAAACATGGTGATGTTCAATAAAAGGAACAGGTAAGATTTTTATCCATTGGCTTGAAGTGAAGCTCATAATACCTTTTTGAAGTTTATCTGTCCCTTAAACCCCAAAACCCCTACTGAAGCTGATTATCACACATGACAATGAAAAAAGGCTTTATCAATTAGTATTTGGCCCAAAAAAATCAGAGTGTCTTGCTTTAAGAACATCAGTGTACTCAGATCTAAAATTAAGAAACACACACAAAAACAGGTGGACCTTATCTCTTTATGAAAGGTGTATTCCCATTGACCAAAGAGGCACCAATAGGTATTATAAAACTGTTTTACATGATACATGGTGTATGATGCCACATGGAAAACTAAACTGAAGTGAACTTTACACAATCATCTTTTGTATAAGGTCAGGCCTACTCTTAAATATCAAGGATGCCTTACTAAGAAATAGTCATGAGAGATAGGTCACATAAGAAATTCAAGCAGGAGGCCCCATGTTACCTAATGAGCATATTAAAGAACGTATGTTGTGTAGTTTTATGCATAATAGGTACAAACTATAAATATTTTGTTTGTATATATGAATCCTATCTACCCACTGGCTTCCCCTAAAACAATTCTGATTGATTTTCAATAGCTCATAAGTTAAGGTTCTTAGTCTTTCAGCTGAGAAATTAATGATCTATAAACAAGGACTAAATGCAGTCAGGAGAAATTTCCCATGTCTGGGTTTTAAAGGCAAAAGCAGTGCTGTGTCTTGGAAAGAACACCTTCTTCAGAGTGGAAAGGACCTGTGTGGAAATGCTGGCTCTACGGCTGTGGCTTTGGGCAAAGCTCTGAACCTCTGTTTCTTCATCTAAAAATAGGAACAGTGCTTTCCTTGCATCAGCTGCAGCAAGATGAAAACACAATATGCAAAGCTTCTAGTGTGACTCTGCCTGCTCGGGGATTGCTACCTGTATCATCACGGTGTGAACTGATTTCTTTTTTTTTTTTTTTTTTTTTTAAAGAAAAGCAAATTGATGTTGCTATCTTCTTACAGCAAAACCAAACAAAAATCACTTCTGATCAGGGCACATGAAGTGGTCAAGAGGGAAAGTGTGACAGGAAGATATCATCCCGGGTAAGTGTCCTGAAGTACCATGAGGACAGCTACTGGATTTCTTTGATTGTATTCTAAACATTTTAGTCAAACCAGTGCTTTGCAGGTAAACACAGTGTCAGCTTTTAAAATACTCACCACTCTCCATCCTGTCCTCCCACGGGGTTGAAACAGGGTCTGTTTATCTGGTCTCATTCTGCAAACAGTGAAGGAGTCAAGTGGGACTCCTGCATCCATGGCACCCAAAGAAACTCCCAGGAACCCAAAGTATGACTCTGCCCACTACAGCATCTTCAGTGAGGCCCCAGATGCTGATGGGTTCCTGACCATTTTGCTCTCCCTTATTCTGCAAGCTTGAACTGCTCTGAAAACGGGTGGGAACAGCAATATTTAAAACTCAGGTCTTTAGAGTGCTACAGGTCTGAATGCCAAATGCTACTGCCATTCAAGCTTTGCTCTCTCTGCAAAGGCTGCCTGGAATGAAGATTACAGCTGCAGACCAGGCTCGGTCTCAGTCTTGTTTAATGGTGCACAAGATCCATAGGTTGATAACCAAGGGATGTGTGCAGCACTGGAGGGTTAGCTCTCCACAGAGCATGAAGCGTGCAAACGGAGGTCACGTCCCCACACAGCACCCATAACCAGCAGGCTGCTATTTAAGTAAGCGCCAACCTGCGGTTTCAGCAATTGTGATTTATTGAGAAGGGTGGTGTGAATAATGTGGAGAACTTGACCACTGGCCTTTAATTCCTCTCATTTAGACAGGCTGCTCTTCACCATAAAATAGTCATTCCGGGAATTAATGTGCTTTACTTTAAAAGTGACATGTTGTACTGGTTTCTGCTTAAAGGCAAATTAGTTTGGATTGCCTGTTTCCCAACCAAGCTGCAAGGGACCCCTCCCCACCGCTCCACCTAGGGTTGAGGGAAAAATCGATGATCAGTAAAAGATGGCCAACTCAGAAACTCTCTGTGACTCCCTGGGTCCAGCTCTTCCTCAAGTTTTATCTTCCCCTAAATATTTCCAGTTCCATGAGCCTTCTTATTATCATGTTTCCTTACAACACTGCTTACCCCAATACCCCATTCAACCCAGGATGCATCTGCTACAGGAGGAGGAGCACATGCTCAGTAACTAGAGGACTCTACAACTCAGCCTGAGGCCTTGTGTCATCCACCTGGAAAGACCCCAAACATTGGCATCTACCGTGATACGTCAGGACCTTCATTTCCCTGAGATCCCACGCCTGTGAGGCAGGGGGTCCACCTGCTGCTTCTCCTGGTTATCCCTGGAGAGTGATTTATGGGATGAACAAGTGATGCCTGCATCCTGCGGCTAGGGCACACTCCAACTGCCATGCTCCTCCCCGATAATGACACGTGGTCACTGAGCAGAGAGACTCAGATGTGCCCCATTCTGCAACTCGGGTTATCTGAGGGTTGGAGCAAGTTCTTCACACCCCAGCGTCTGCAACTGCAAATCTAAAAAAGAGCTAACACCTGCCTCGAAGGGTTGTTGTAAGGTCAGACCAACCAGGTAGCAGTGGCTGTGTCTGGCAGGTACGAAAATGTCTGCAAAGTCTAGTTGTTGCTATTACTATTACCTTTCAGCACCTCAGCATGAAACCCTCCATAGCTCTCTAGCAGTAAGTAAACAACAGCCAAGCCCAAACACAGCAGAGCCACTAGGACCCTCCCCAGCCACCTCCCAGTATGAACCATCTACCACACACACATCCTTCTGTTCATCCCTGGACATATTATTCCAGTTCTTACCTCTTATGCTTTCATTCTTGTCATGCTGATATAGTCTTGTCTTCATCTCAGTTCAGCCTATCTCCACTCTATTCGCTCATAAAGCAACGAGATATTTTTAGAACCATGCGTTCCACAAGCACAGGATGAGCCCCAGGCTGGCCATTAGTGAGCCGTATCCCACTGCCCCTTCTCCAGCTCCAGTTACCAGTGTGGAGTAAGGATGGGGGGGTCTTGTGACTCAGCCTGGACCAGTGAGTTCGTGGTTATGGATTCACACAGTAAAAGTCATACTTTTCTTAGAGACAAACTACCAGTGAACAGAAGAAATGGGCCAACTCAGAAACCCTCTGACTCCCTGGATCCAGCTCTTCCTGAAGGTTTATCTTCCCCTAAATATTTCCAGTTCCATGAGCCCATTTATTATCATTTTTCCTTACAATGCCTTAAATCTGGTTCTTCTCATATGACCCTCCAAAGAACCATGACCAGTGCCACTAATGACAGCAGTTCCACGGCACTGAAGAACCGTGACACTGCCTGCTGTACGCACAGGTTGTCTTTACATTTTTCACTTTTGCCAAGGTGGACTCTGAGACCTAAGCCAGGCTTGGCCATTCTCCCAAGACCATCCTAACAGTGGTGGTGGCCAAGTGCAGTGTTGAGCACCACGACTCCTAGCTCGATGTTCCATTTCCACCACGTGCCGCCCTGAGACCCTGACCCCAGCAGGTGGCCCTCGGACACCCAAGATGAGTTGCCGCTACTACAGTGCCCCTCTCCCCAGAAGTCACTTAGCTGGCAGTGGCTCCACAGCGCTTCCCTACAGCCCTGGGGAACGTGCTATGACAAACTCTTCCAGCCGCTCTTCACTCGCTCTCCAGCGAGGCCAAGGCCACGGTAACGAATGACCACCGAGAAGCGCCCGAGTCCTCTGTGACTCCAGGAGTGCGCTAATGAAATTGCTTCACGTTCTGGAGCAGAAGCAAAGCTGCATGCCTTTGAGAGACACGCAGCCTCTTGCCTTTCCCTGTTCAGAGAGAAAAGGAGTCAAGGGGCTGGGGAATAGGAAAAGCAAGCCAACGCGCACGTTTAATATTGACTTAAAACGTGGAGTTCCATCTCTCTTAGACCAGGGGAGGCAGCATTCCCCCACAGTGGTGACCACTCGGATAGGACATCTTTGCTTGTTTTCTTGCAGTTTATATTTTTAAATGCAGCACTGCACATTCCATGTGTGGTTCAAAGGGTTTCCTGAATATTATGTCATTATGACTCAAGGTTTGGAGGTCACCGAATAGTAGCCGTATTTGTAAAAGCACAGATAGAGCCATACTGCCCAGGTTTATATTCCATTATACATTTTCCAACGAGGTGACCTTAAGCAAATTAATTAACCTCTTTCAACCACACTCTGTACTTCTGTAATACAGGGATAATGACAATACCGCTCTCGTGGAAGTGCGGTGAGAATTAAGACAATGGAATGAAATGATTAGCACAGCACCAGGTGAAGAAGCAAAGGCTGCCGCTGTTGCTAATCACAGTAATATCATTCGTGCTATTTCAAAGTTGCCAATTATGATTTCTGGTAAGATGGTGAGGCCTTTAGCATCTACAGAGGTTTACAGGCAGCTTTGCCCTATCACTAAATGGCCCCGGGATGCTTTATTTTTTAATGCTTTCTGCAACTCTTAATGGTAAGATGTCAGGCTATCAGCCGTACTGCTGTCATCCTGGATGTTATTTACATTTTGCTTCCAATTTACACTGGAGCTTCTCTTGCAGGAGTTATCATTAAACAAGAGGTATGCTCCTAAGTACTGCAGTAACTCTCTTGGCCACTAGAGGTCCACTCCTGAAGTGTGGGCTGAGACTACACTGGGCTGGCCAGAAGTCTGTAGGCTGGTCCAGAGCTCAGTTTTAAGGAATCAAATTATACAAGATAATGCAAGCTTTTCCTCAATTTCTAACCTCCTTTATAATCTCACTGTTTATCACATGCAAACCATCAATTTCAATCCGATACATATGCTGACATTTCCCAAGCAAATGCTGGGCTGTTGGTTGCTCTACCTGTGTGCCTTTACACACAGTAACTGCTCCACTGGGAGCCTCCCCACCACAGCCCCGATGGTCTTTATACCCACCTAAATTCCCTTCGCCCCTCACAACTGGTCAGGAGTTACCTCTGTGAGAAAATTCCCAGTCATCTCTTGCCTCCTCTGAACTCATGGAACTTTTCGCGTCTCTCATTCACTAGCCAAGGGCCATTTCTGCATTACTTATTTTGTTCCTTTACTTAAGTCCCCACTTCTGATGCAGGAAAAGGAAGTCCTGACCATTTATCTCATGTGGGTCAGCTACAAAGCTGGTCGCTTCATAATCTTGATCAATAAGCCTATTAAAGAGAACTTTCCATTCCTCTTATAGAAATGGAGGCTTAAAGAAATAAAACCACCTGGTCAAGGCTGTTGTAAACCAACAGCCACCATTTAAATCCAGATCTAACTCCCAAGGCCATGCTCTTTGGCTCCATTAGTTCACATCTACTCAACACTGCCTGAAGTATAATGCTACCTTGGTTTATCAGTTTAATTTGTTTTAAGTTTGGGAAAGATGGCTGCGTTTGTGTTTGTGTGAGAAGGCTGCGGATGTGGCGTTTGTGAACAGAAGCAAAATTGTGCCAAATGTTTTTATTTGCAAACCAAATTGTTTGCAAACAGAAGCATTTGTGAACTGAGGTATTAGCAGCCACTCAAAAATATTTAGAGGCTCCTTGAATGGCTAAGGAGCAGTCTCTGTTGTGTGTTGAAGTCTCAGGCTATCAACCAAAGGGGAGCCCACATCCATGGCCCTCAGATTCCAGGTCTCCATGCGGCCAGCCCTCCACCCCTCCTCAGTTCCCCCAACAAGTCAGGGCTGCTTATGGATGGGAACATACTCTCCTCCAGCATGCCAGTGGCTCTGAGAGTCCTCTGCTGAGCCTCCCCAACCCCTGCCAGCCTGCAATGCTCAAAATACATTCTCAGATGGAAACTGGGGAGATGGGAGTCATAAGCGATGTTTAAAGTCACCACTAAAGAGGACAAAAAGAATAAAGCACTCATTTCCCCTAGGGTAGCTCTGCGATGCCAGCAACTCTAGAATTCAGCTGGCCGGAATATTATGAAATATGCTGCAAAACAACTGGATTTCATTTCAAACAGCATAAATTAACAAATCGCCCATGTGCACACAGCATCTGCTAACCTAATAATTAAGATATTAAAAAAGTCACCTAATGGCACCAAAGTCAGGATAATGAGATAATTAGTACAGTGTTTTCAAAAACGGTAAAGACACAGGATCCAGTCACACACATAGCACCCCAAACACAGGCTGCTTCCTCCTGGCCCCTGTGCACCATGTTTGGATTAGCACGGTGTGAAAAGCAGCCACCGCTGTTATGTAACTAAACCCAGCACATACAGTTGTCAGTCCGGGTAAATTTAACTCTGCAGGTTGAAGGCAGAGCTGGCTTGCCAGAGCAGAATTCAGAAAACAGGAAAAATTTAAAGACACATTTCCTCGCAGACCAAAGGGAACACTGTTAGGGAGCCACCGAGGGCACAGCCAGCTCTGGGAGCCCGGTCCCTGCTGGGGCATCAGCCCCAGAACAGCCAGACTGAGGACAATGAATAGCGACAGGCCCTCGGCTGTTCAATTACAAAACCGTCTGCAACTCTCTCTCCCTGCGTGGCAATAAAGGTGCTTCTTGGGTCTGACACAGCTCAGAAGAAGAGGTGCTGAAACTGGGAACCAGGGGAGGCTTTAATAACAGGGTGCTTTGCAGCGAGAACAAAGCAGATCCCATCTCCAGGCTGGGCCCTGGCACAGAGGAGCTTGCCAGGAATGTGACCGTGGCCTGAGTGCCAGGCACTGCCTCTCTCAGCCTGGGGGGTCTGGAGGGGGTCTTCCTCACTGCATCTTGACCTTGTCAGCAGCAAAAGAAGAGTATTAACTCCTGCAGTCTCTTCTCAGAGAGTCAGCAGGTGCCACCATGAGGCCATCCACTAGGAAACATCAACATGTCAGACAGCATCACTCCAGCGTCCACATCTGCAATCCTAGGCCAGCAGCACTCAGCACAAAGAAGGCGGGACAGATGCGGCAGAGTCAGTAGATGCCAGGAGCCTCTGACTTAGACAATGTTGCTCCAGGCACATGGCAAAGACTTATAGTGCAGGCTTTCACCCAGGCAGGGCTCCTGAGAGACGCCCAGGGAGCTCAAGGTGCAGGGTTGGTCTTGTTTCCATGAGTCCCACCTGGTAGGAGGTACCTGCACTCTGTAAGGCCGACAGTACATCTAGAGATGTTCAAAAACCCAGAGCATTTGGAGATCCTCTGCTCCAATTTGTAAATGCAACAGGGCTGGACAAGGAAGAAGCAAGTAAGGGGCTCACCTTAGGTACAGAACCCAAGAGGATGTGAACACCAAGATAAATAACATGCCAGTGCAATGCTGCAAAAATCAATGTGAACGTGAGAGACTATCTCTAGGAAAAGCAAAACACTAAAAACTTAAATAAAGAGAGCAACAGCCTAGAGATAGCCAGGTACAAGACCCTGGCATAACATCCTGGACATTTCAATCTAGTGCCACAGCTGGGGGCACAGGAGCACCGATGACATCTGTACATTCTCCTCTTTGTCTTGACCACACCTGTGTGTGCAGAACACCCTGAGCATGGGCAGCTGGGATGTGTGGCCACGGCTGCAAGATTGGGCTGGTGGGATCCGCCCATAGGAGGGGGTTCATATTCATCTCCTAAGAGGAGGCTCACCAGACATTCCCAAGACTGAGAAAAAATCTGTGCCCCGGAAGGAAACGGTCTACTAGAAGTGTTTCGTTCTAAAGGAATATTTAAAATAACTACTATGGAAGTAGTGAGAAAGCTTTGGCCCACATTGTATTGTCCTCAAAATAGAAAAAACACTTTCTATATTGGTGTCACATACGTGTATTTTCTGTCAGTGCGGTCCTGATGACACTACCCTTAGCTCACGAACCTTACATGGCTCCCCACTGCCTACAGACTGTAGCTTGGCAGGAGAGTCTTCCACTCTGCACTAGTCCGTGGGACTCCTTTACTTGCCTTCCTTCTTTGCCCCTTTGCAAGCCCCTGCCTGCAAGATCCTCTGCTCCAATCTGTAAATGCAACAGGGCTGGACAAGGAGTCTCCCGGACTAGGGAAGCCCTCTCTCACCTCCCTGAACCATCGCTCCTTTCCTAAATCTCATAGGCTGTTCCAACCTCAAGTCTCAAACCGCCCTCTCGGTGAAGCCTTGGAGCTCTATTAGGTGCTGAATTATTAGACAAATTAAAGTCAGCAAGCTATGGCCTCAAGCAGCTTTGGCATTTTAGCATGAAATTAACCAAAATGCTTATCAACCCCACCCCAAAGTTCCACTGTCAAAGCATACAGACTCCTCCTCTGCCTTTAGAAGCAGAGCCAATAGGGTAAGGAAAGAAAAGAGGAGAAAAGGAAAATGCAAAGCTCCTGTCCCCTAGGGACTGCTCCTGGCACAAAGCAGGGATCCCTAAACCAATATGCAGGCACTTCCCACTTCAGGGGGACAGGAAGTCAGTCCAGCGGCCCCAGGAGTCACAAACATGGACAGGATAATGTTCCCTGGATCCTGCAAACCGCACAGAGAAATGCCCACAGCTCTCCACATGAGCTGGGGAGAGAAAAATCCATTTTGACCCAGAGCTTAACTGAAGTCCCCAGCTCTCCCACATCCATGCCACCTGCTCTGTGATTGGCTTTCACTGCCGAGGGCCCTGCTGCTCAGAAGCCCGATTTTCCCGAGCAGAGCAATTCAAAACCATCTTAGTCACACAGATAGAAGGTGAAAGTATATTCCAAGCAAACTACTGGACTGAGGTCGAGTTTATCAAACCAATTACAGCGAGATGTTATGGGGAGGGGGAGAGAATGTAATCACATATGACAGGGATTATCCAAACTGCTTACACAGGAAATCAGGAAACTGATAACAGGCTGACAACAGCCTGTACCTGATGGGGGAACTGCAAGCTTAGACTGCCCAGGCTGGTGAAACGGAAATTACAACACAGAGCTAGGGGCACTGCTCAGGGCTCCTGGGCACCTGGGCACTGTGGCACAGGGTGAGGACGGCTTGGGACAGACGCAGAAAGGGGGCCACCTCCTCTGAAAACAATCCCCCTTGGGAACTCTGGGTGCAGGGTGCCAGGCTTCCTTACACTGTCCAGAAACATCTGAATGGACCCTCTCTGAGGATGCTAAGCATGAGTGCAGTGAGTCGGGGTTCAGCCAGGAGCACCCTAAGAGAGCAAGAAGAGGCATGCAGAAAAAGCTGCCCGCAGGGCGCAGACTCCAACACAACACAGCCCAGCCAGGGGAGCCAGTGCAGAAAGTCCTCTGCTCACTTCCGAGCCCACTGGCTTTGGGAGGAGCAGCTGCGGGGCCTCTCAGCTCCAGGGATGTGGATGTGTACACTGGCTGGGAAGGCCTCTCTCCTCTCTGGACCAAGGAGTCAGCTAGGGTGTGTCAAGGCACACAGAGGGGTCACATTGCACCCCAAATAAAAGAGCCATACACGAACTTCCTGGAACACGGAGTCACTTCAGGAGACACCTAGTGAATCACTGGCAACAGGAAACCAAAATAGAGGCCCTAAATAAAGCGAGCGACCCGGAAAAGGACATAAATACCCACATTTTAAAGGAGAGGCGTCTCGGGCCTCTCTGTACACCTCGGGCTTTGTTTCTTTCATACAATGCGGCACCGGAAACACCCTCACAAGGTTAGCCCAGGCCTGCAACAGAGGTGATCTACAGCAAGTTCAATGCCATCTTTTAGCAGTTGCTGCACTTAATTGAGTGGAAAAAGCTGTCAATCTAAAGCCCCAATCCCAAGGTAAATTCACTCTGAACTAACCATCTGCCAGGGCTTCTCCCAGGGTAGTCAGCACTTACCATCCAGAGGCCTGGATTCACTTCCTCATAATTAGATCATTCCTGAATTAAATTGACGGTCCCAGGGAAAAAAAAAATGCAAAGTGTGTTTTGAGACCAGAAAGCAGAAGCTGACTTGTTTTAACAAATGCAAGAGACCACATATTTTTTCACAGTGATAAGGTGGCACAATAAATGATTTTTCTAAATTAGGCTTCACAACAAGTATTATCTTCCACACCACCCTCAGAGTTTATATTTGGATTTTCATTTGCAAAGTTGAGACATTTCTTGGAAGCATCATAGAAAAACCCAAGGGTGGGTGATCGCTGTTTATAAACCCAGGGGCGTAAACAGGGTTGGACAAGATTGACCCATCTTATCCAATGGTGTGAATGTCCAAGTCCCCACGCATCTGCTGTCACTTCTGGGAGCCTGTTGCTCATTCAAAAACAAAAAGCAAGATTTCAGGCAAATTTTTTTTTGCATTCCCAGGGTAGCCACACTTACCATAACACCTGGGAGATACAGGTCAAATAGTCCACAAAGGGACAAACGGACAGGGCCCTGAAAGCAATGCAACCATCCTGTAGGCAAAAGTAGACGAAGAAATGAAAAAGAAATCCTGCAGTTTCCCTGTAAACAGTAACGGGGCGGGAGGGGGGGTAATCTCTCATCAGATTGCGTCTCTGGGGCACTTTAACTACACAGGGTTCCTCAAACACTTCACATTAACTCTAATTTTTTCCCGGAAATAGCTCTGAACTAAGATGTTCAGTAATATCTCCATGTTGTTCCTCAGGAGCCTGCACACCATTTGGTTTACCAGTGTATGTCTGAGGAGACACAGACACAGAGTCCAACAGAACACTGTTCCCACTGGGTCTACATAACGCAACCCAAAATAGAATGTGCCCCGTCCATTTCGGCCTGATCCTGATTAGATATTCCGATGCCTGCTTTTCCATGGATGGAATGTTAGAAGCAAGATAAAAGAAGACAGAAATAGAGAGATAACCACCAGGTCCTCACACCCTGACAGGCTAAATAAAACCTACTATTAGGGCCTATGTAATATTTATGCATGCAATATAATATTTCTACCTCTAGAACTTTGAATATTTCTCAGACTTGCTTGATCTGAATAGTCACCTGGAGCATTTAATAAAAACTTACAGTTTTTAGGCCCTTTTAAAAAAAACTGAAAGTCAAGTCTGGGGTAGGTTCAATAACCTATGCTGTTCTTTCTTTGCATGTGTTTAAGTGTAACAGGGACACAGAGAGAGAAAAAAAAAGATTTTCCATCCTTTCCAGTCCCCTTTCCCAACTTTAAAACATCTGCCTCCCTTTTCATACTGTTTCTCCTCTATTAACTGATTCTTCTACACAAACTTACCAGAGGCCAAAACCGCAAAACTCTCAAAGGCCAGAAGCAAAGCAAAAAAGAATCAGAAAAAATGAGCAGATCACAGAAAGATGGCCTGAGGTAGGAGAAGTCACCTCCCCAACACAGCCCGTGGGTGGGGGTGGCCTGGAGACAGACACCTCCAGGGAGGGAGAGGTAACCATGGAGTGTCCCTAGCTAGAATAAGAACAGAGACACTGAGGAGGACAGGATCGATGGGCAAAGCCCTCTTTTCTGAACGAAAGCCCAGAAAAACATGACCCCACCCCCAAGGAAGAAAAAGGAGAAGTTGCCACGCACTTGGAATTCTAGGTAGAATAAACAAAAAACTAAAACCAGGCTCAAATGAGAAAGTCAAATTCTGAACCTATGGATAGGCAGATGCCTTTGAATTCTGCATTTGTACTTCCCCTGTGTCCCAGGAGAGGTACACAGCCCAGGCCACACAGGACAGCCAGGTTGGGGGATCTGGCAAAGAGGAGTTTGTCATCAAAAACTGCAATCCACCTAAGAAGCAGATCCACTAAACACAAGACACCAGCAATGAAAATTAACCTGACATCATAGGACAGGATGGAAGGTTCACAAAAGAGGGAGTGTAAAATTATTGAAGAAGTTTTTAAAAAGACACAGAAAACATAAAGATGTTAGTAAAAAAATGATAGCAAACAAAACAGAGGAAAAGAAAAACATTTTCCAGTAAAAACAAATATAGTCTTTAAAATTAAAGATGCAAAGAACACAACATAGAAGAAGAATACATTTGGCAGGTTTCCATGTATACGAAATTCAATATAACGCAAGGAAGGGGATTTCAGGGAGCAGTAGATGTTCACTAACGATGTGGGTGATGGCTGCTTGAGCAGACTGTCACGTAAAAGCCTTATTACTTCTCAGCACGTATATTAAACCATCATTTAAAAAATCCAATAAGCAGTTTACACAGTAGATTAGACAGAGGCCAAAGTGGCTCAAAGAAAAGACTGAGGAAATTGCTCAGAGCACTGGACATAAAAAAACAGAAATAAAAGCAAGAAGGAGAAATTAAATAGAAGATAAAATGGGAAGTGCTCTTGTACGCCAACAGGAGTTCCAGAAAAAGGGACCGAGTTAAAAAAAAAAAAAAAAAAAAAGAATGTCTAAGAATATTCCAGAGTTAAAGGCAAACAAGTTACAGTGATGAAGAAGCATATCCAGGCCTAAACATATCCCAGTGACCCTGCACAATGCCAAAGGAAGAGAGAACCTTAAAAGCCGCCAGGAAGACAAATTACAAGTAAAACAGCAATGATGTGACTGACAGTAAACTTACCATCCACAAGTCAGATGCCGCCTACTGGTCAAAGGCCCTCACCAAGCCACTGGCTGCAGAGAATGAGTTTTGTGCAAAATGACTGCAGAGGGAATGTACTTTCCCACAATGATTTCTGGTGTCCCATGCATCCTGCACTGATTTTGTCCGTGGGCTTCTGTTGCGCACCTTCTGTGTACTACCCTGAGCAACAGACTCCTTTGCTTTCACAGAACTTGGCACTCTGAACTCAGAGGAGGTACAAGCGGTGGGCCAGGAAAACTCGGGCGCTTTAGAGGACAAGGGAAGAATGTGGACTGGCAGGAGTGAGGTCTAGGGCAGCAGGTCCCCGCTGAGAGTCCCAGATGGCCAGGCTCAGCATGAGAGGACCCCCCCCGGGGGGGCTGAAGTATCTGTACCCTGCTGTGTCTTGGGGGTTCAGGGTAGGGCGAGGCATGCAGGAGATGCTGCCGAGGCGGGTGCTCAGATGGAGGGAAGGCAGGTGGAGTGGAGAAAGCACAGCATGTCTGGGGACCCCAGTTCAGAGCAGATGGAGGACAGAGCATGATGGGGACAGGGAAGATGAACCAGGGTGCAAGAAAGGGCTGAGTGACACCATCAGAATGGGTCTTATGTTCTCAGAGCAACTGGCATCTGATGCAGGGTGTTAAGCTAGGAAGTGATGTATGAGATTTAGGTTTCCAGAAATCCCTTGGATGCTAGCCTCAGTGTCAGAGGTAAGGACACAGTTCTGATACAGAAGAAAATGTGTGATCATGCTGATAGACAGAGCCTTGGTCCACGCTTAGCTTTTCATCTGCAAAATGGAGATCAAATTCTTAGCCCCTGTGAGAAGGCAGAGATGACTAGAAAGTCCGAGCCCTGTGTGTCCAGTACCTGGGGCAGAGTAAGTAATCGGTAAATGAGAGCCCAGGCCTGTCACGAGCTCCTGTCAAATCACTGCCCAAACCCCAAGGGAACTACAGACAATATTTAACTTCATCTTTGTAACCTCATCCCCTTAGGCAGCAGCTCCAAAGCACAAGAGCTGAACTGTGGGTTTGGAAGGGAGTAAAGAGAGAGGAAGGGAAGCAGCCAGGAAGGGGAGGAGGAGGGAGGAGAAAGGGGAAGAGCTGGGGACTCTTTATTTGTGTGTCGAGGGCCCCCAGCAGTGGTGTAGGCACCACCATGAACACCAGCATGGTCCTATGGGAAGTATTTATTCATCAGCTACTTACAGGACAGGAGGGGAGGGTGTGTTGTCCTGCCAAGGGCTGTGCTAGGATGCTGGAGGAACACAAGGCTCAACTGCTGCTCCCCTGTCTTTCAAGAACTTGCAGCTCAGACTGAGGCTCCTACATAAACGGTCCCCAGGGAGATGAGCTGTGACCCCAGGACCAGTCCAAACGAGAAAGGTGAGCGCCCTCCCTCTACCTCCACCACCCAGCTGTGGGAGAGAAAGGGGGAGAATGTGCTCACCCAGAGCAGCCCGGCAGCACAGTGACACTTCTGCCCCCAGCCACCAGAGCTCAGGCTCCACTCAAGGAAGGTCTGCTGTCTACTGAAGACCAGCCAGCTCATCTGCCTGGACAGAACCCCTGCCACGTGGATGCGACCAAGGCAAGGTTTCCCCAGGCCCCAGGAGGCAGGGCATGCTGCCGCTACACCTCGCTTCCACTGCTGGGAACAGCCACCAGTCTAACTTATAAATTCCCAAAGATATTACTGCCGCTGTTTATAATTAGCATGCTAAATAAAACTGAAGCAAGCTGCTGGCTTTGATAGGCCTGGTCCTGGTAAGCAGTTGGAGAAGGTAAGCGTATGTGTGAATCTCTAGACACGTGTACATATGCACATGGGTGCACACATACACACGCTACCTGCTGAGCCCCACCTTCCTGAAATGGGAAACAGAATGTGCTCACAAAACACACCTATTCGAAGGGCATGAAAGAGGCAAACAGAGGACCTCGCTCCTTCAGTCTGAGGGACACATGAGCCAGCGTGGATTCCAGGGAAGGGGACAGCCCCAGGACAGCTGAAGACAGAGCCCTGTTACAGATGACCCACGTCTCCAGAGCTAAGCTCCGAGCTGCAGAGCCCTGTGAGAAGCGTCAGAATACCGCGCTGCCACCCTCCATTAGCTAGCATCTCACCAGATGGAAACGCACATCCATCTTCACTCCCAGCACGAAAAGAGCAGCAAACACTAACACAGGAGCGTCAGCTAGTGCATGGCTTCTCTTTTAAAAAAAGAAATTAATAAATGAAGAAGCAGAGTTAGCTCAGTCCTCCTCTCAGTCTAGCCACCTTCCCTTCACCATTTTTAGCAGCTGTTGTGACCCCCAGCGGAAAAGCAAAGCATACAACTCTTTCCCTGGTTTTGTTGTTCGTGACAATTTAGATGACTGTCAGGGAACAGGGAATATAACGTTACTCAATCAAAGTAAAAGTCGGGGTGCTTAACTCTCTGACTTCAATACAACACCACCCAATAGCAAAACAAATGCACAAAGCAAGCAGGCTTTCACAGGCATGGACGGGGTCCAGTTGCTCACTGGCCATTGCCACTTAGACCTGAAATGTCCTCGAAAGTCTCACATATTCTGAGCTGGGTCTTTGGAAGGTGACTGGATCATGGAGGATGGAGGGTGTGTACTTACCAGGGGTTCATCCACTGGCAAATTCACATGCTGTAGGGGAGATAGAGCCTAACTAAAAGGTGAGCTCACTGGGAGTGGGACCTGGAAGGGTGAATTCTTGTCTCCACCCCTCCTGTCTTTCTGCTTCCTGGCCGCCATGGGTTGAATGGCTTTACTCAGCTGGCCACTGCCACCATACTATTTCTGCCTTGGAGCCACAGATCACAAACTGAATCCTCTGAAACCATGAACCAAAATAAACCTCTCCTCCTTCAAGTTGCAAGCGTCAGATGTTTCATCCCAGTGACAACAAAGAAACTAAGATAGAGAGGGAAGCCACACACTCCTGCCCACTGCAACATACCCCTGAGAAGCACCACAGCTAGTACTACCATACCTACTGGTGGCTACTGCAGAGTTACCCAGTCACATTCTCTGGGACCCAACCCGCTCAGTGCACTCACTGGAAGATTGTCAGTAGTTTAAAACACCAAGCTCTAGCCTTTTCTGCAAGGGAAGACCTCAAATAAAAGTCCCATACGTCTCTAAGAGAGACATATTCCCTTCAGGTGTAGAGAGTAAATGACTCTTAGGTACAAGAGGAAAAGGAGCCCATCAGCTGGATGGACAAACAAGATCAATCTGTCCATCCAATGGAATATTGCCAAGCAATAAAAAGATACAGATTGAGCATCTCTAATCTGGAAATCTAAAATTTTTGGATTAAGCATACTCAACCATTAAAGTCTATGTAAATACTGCAAAATTTAAAAAAAAAAAAAAAACTCTGACACATGTAACATTTTTGGTCCCAAGCACTTCCAATAAGGGATACTCAACCTGTGTTGACTTGTGCTACAAACAGGATGCTGGGTGAAAGAAGCCAGACACAAAAGACTTCATTTTACGTAATTCTATTTAAGTAAAGTACCCATCAAAGTAAATGGAGATTAATAGTTGTCTTAGGTTATGGGGAATAAGGGAATGTGACAGACAGGGATGTTTGTGGGGTGATGATGGTGATAGTTGTAGAACTCCATAACTTTACTAAATTGCACTCTTAAGACAGGTGACTTGAATGGTTATAAACGATGTCTCAGTAATAATTTTCTGATTCTTTTTAAAACACTGGGCCTTAGTCATGGGGTCATAGAACATAGTCTCGGGTTATATATGGAGTGTGGCTTGGGTAGTGACTGTTCTATGGAGAAAGTAAGCCCTCTAGTATGAAAGCTATTATTTGCTCAAAACCACTTTTTAATTAACAATCACGGTGGGATCAGAACTCAGGCCTCTTGGTTATATGTCTTATGTACCCTTCTTAGTTGTCATTATTTGGTTTTATGTAAACCATGGGTGTTAACCATATAGATAATAAAATATAAAAATAAAATACATATACAAATATATATGCCTAAAGCCAAGACCAACAAGTTTTTGGAGTATATGTAATTCATGATTATAGTTATTCTCTGCTTGCTATATCACTTGTACACTTCATTTTCTTATTTTCTCAATAGTAGTTTTGAGGTGAAATCCATGACTTTTTATCAGCTTAAGACTGAAACTTTCTTTCCTTGCACTAAAGAATCAGAGATGAGTGTTTTAAACGCTGAATCAACTCTTAAGACTCCAGGTTTCAAAACACCCAACAGCAAACAACCTGATTCAGCCCTAGCCACATGGGCCTGACTTTCTAATAGAAATGTAAAATAGATCTTTATTCCCAACGAAATTAAAATGGGATTCAATTATGCAGAATATGAAGGAACTTGTTGTTGAACTACCAAAAAAAAAAAAAGCCCACACTCTCATTTAAAACAGTGACACCACAGACTTAATTATGATTTAAAACTGCACAGGAAGAAGAGGATAGAGTACACCCAGAAAGAAAGGGGAGAAGGGGCTCTGTCTAAGCAAACAATTGAGCCAGTTGAGGATTTTTAGTAACACATTTGGAGGCAATCTGGACATCCTGAAAGTTATTAGAATGCTTGGAGCATTGTCCAAGCTATGGGCTGAGGTTTGTGGCTCCCCAAATGTCTATGTTAAAGCACTGACCCCCAGTGGGATGGTAGCCTATGGGGGATAATCAGGTTTCAGATGAGGTTTGAAAGTGGAGCCCCCACCAGAGCCCAGCCAGTGCTACATAAGAAGAAGAGAATCAGCTTGCTTCCTGTCTCTGCAGTGTGAGGGGACGGGGAGTAGGTGACATCCCTAAGCCATTAAGAGAGTCCTCACCTGGGATGTGACTTCCCACTCTCCAGAACTGTGAGAAAATAAATTGTCCAAGATCCCCCTCCCAGTGCCTGGGATTTTTCTCACAGCAACCCAAGCTGATGCAGGCAACCAAACTTGTCCCAGTTCAGTCGCCCTCTGTGCAACCCACAGCAGTGATCAAGGTTAGGCGGTCGCCACTTCAGGAGCTCCTGAGGTTAGCTACTGGCAGTGCTGAAGGATGTGAGGAAGTACTCGGCCTCCCTAGATCTGCATCTTGCAAAGGGCTCTTGTTGCAGTGACTTACTTATACATTTACAGTCTAGCTCCCAACGCTTTCGCCTTGGCATCAAGTGAAAATTAAAATAGAACTGCATATTTAGCTCAACTTGCACAAGTCCCTAACTTCCTAAAATGTACTTCAGCCTCAAAAATGATGCGTCGCTCCAAACTGCTTCCCTCCTCAGTCATCTGTCTACATAGGGGCCAGCTGGACAGATGCTCCCCTCCTGCGGGGGTTCCCCCAAAGGCAGGTGTCTCTTCCTCTAACACACAGGGAGAGTGTGCAGCCAGCAAAGGAAGAAGGGCGCTCAGAAGCCAGACACAGCAGTGACCTCACATGCAGGAAGGCTCCAAACCAAACAGGCATGAGAACTTTTCTAGTCGGTTGATCCTCCTTTGACAAAACCCAACGCGCTTTCCCTATGCCACCCAAAGTACTCCAAAGGATGCCTCAGCTGGTACCTAAAGTGGAAAGAAAAATTCCAAAAACCAAAGGCAGTACTTGTGGGCATGGAGTCTTGATTGGAAGCCCTGAACCAGATGATCTGAGGTAGGAGACAAAGATTCTGCTTCAAATCACAGAAGTTATTCCCATACCACAGAATGTCAGTCTTCTGTGTTATCAATTTGTACTCACGCCTGAATTTTATCTGACATCTCAGTTTATCTATTCTGTAGAAGGAAAATGGCAGAAACAGGAATGATGGAACTATGCCAAGGTGGGCTAAAGCTATGAACATCTTTTTCTTAAAAGAATGTGTGTGTTATATGCTTTGAAATATATATAACCTTAGCGAAAGCTTGAGTCAAAGAGGGAAAATGTTCCTTAAATTTCACTACTCTATGGCTGACTTGTCCAACTTACATCCCCCTATAGATCGTTGGCCAACACAGGGCTCTTTTAAAGCATAACCTGAGCTAACCTGCCCCACCAAGGGCTGTAGCTCCCTCCCAGCATCTCAGCACGGGAAGGCTCTGGCTGGCCTCCTCTGGCTCTTTGGACGGTGGCCAAGGGAGCAGAGTCAAGCTGGAGCGCTCCCCAAGGTGGTTCTCAGGTAACCCGCTGGTTAGATTTCATCTTGTGTGGGTTCAGCTTTGCCTAGCAAGGCAGAGGAGGTGCTTGGTCCAGGTCTAGAATGATTTCTGTTTAGGTTTCTTCAGGACCTGGCTATAAACAGCCCGAAGAATGGTTCTGCTGTCCCGACGGGCACCTTTCAATGGAGACAAAAGTAGGACACTCGCTTAACAAAAGGGGACTGTTTGGCCACCAACGTCCTGAGCAGGGTCTGAGTGTCCAACTGGAAGGGCTTTCTGCAAAGTTCAAAAGACAGAGAAGAAAACAACAGCAAGAAAAGAAGCATCCCAGAATCACCCACTCCAGACCTCCCTTCCCGCAAAAGTGCCAACGGATCAAATATAAACCTCTTTGAAGAAAGCTCCAGCCGGGGCTCAGGGCTCAGGTATTAGAAGACCCTGGCATCGCAACCCCCCTGCCCTGCTGTCAGAGCCGACACACACACACAGAACGTCGCCCTCCTGTATGCCCGGTTTCCCCCACATCATAAAAACAAGCTTTCCCTTTAATCTGCTTACCAGAGTGTGGGCGAAGGCTTCTAATTTCCCAGCACAGAGATAAAAGAATAACACATAGAACACATTAGTGGAATATTGACAGGAAGGACATTTAGGGAGAGCTCAGGGAAAACAATTGAGAGCTCAGGAGGACCAGGCAGGCCCCTCCTCCTCCGGGCCACTGGAGTGAAAAATAAGATCAGGTCCCCCTAAGGACACCGCATACTTCCCTGTCCCTCCCCAGCCTGCACATTACCAACTTCCTGCCAAGACTTCCCGAGGGTGCTGCGGAGGTGAAAGCGCGGGAGAAGCACAGCACCAGGGACACACCACATCAGTGCCTCGGTGACCACACCACAGTCACCTCCAACGCCCCTGCTTTTTCTTCTCCTAGTCAACTTAAAAAAAATCCTGCAGTCGGTTTCCCATGGCCAGATCCGTCCTTTGAAGGTCTTCTGCCCTTCTCAGGCCTCTCTTTCAACTTTGCCCCCACAAAACCTTCCTCCCAGAGCGGTGCACAGACCTCTCCAAAGCCACTATTCATCCCATCTCCAGCCTGGAGGTTCTGCCAAGCGGGAGGGAGAGTCCCCTCAGAGATGGGATAAATCAATGCCAGCCTGTGAAGAAATTAAAAGGAAGAAAAGGCAGCAGCAGCTCTCCACTCAGCCACGGAACGTAGGGAAGGGATCACTTCCAAAACACACTGAGCTCCAGTCCCACCTGGGGCAGCAGTGTGCAGGAACCCAGCTCTGGGCTCTACAAAGTCCCTGTAGGATGTCCAGGTCCCAGTCTACTCTTGTTTGTTTGTGCAATATTGGGATTGAATCCGGCGCCTTGGTACTTTTTAATGTTTTTAATTGCATTTTCAAGATAACATCTTATCAAGTAGCTAAATTACACAGGGTGGGCTCAAACTTGCAATCCTCCTGCCTCAGCCTCCCAGAGTACTAGGATTCTCACAGGTATGCACCACTATGCCCAGCTCACAATCCTGCCTTTTGTTTTTCAAAGACACTTTGTCTCTCCTGCTCCCTTTATCCCATTCAATTTCAGAGCCAAATGTAATTGGATCTTAGATTTATTTTCTACTGATATCACTTCGAAATCCATGAAGATGGTCTCATGTGTTAAAGCTTCAGTCTCCCAAATTCCCCATCAGAAGTGCTGCTCAGAGCTTGGACTGTCTCTGAACCAGCCCTCCTGAGCGCAAGCCCTTGCTAAATGTTATTCCCTTGCGTCATTCCACAAGTAATAGAGTCACAGCTTCCTGCCAAACTCACACTTCCAAAAGCACCTCCAGATCAGCACACCCCAAACTGAACCCACACCTTCTCCCCTCCAATACGTCCGCCACCAAACTGTCTGGGCTCCTTAGCTGGTACCTTACTCTGGGGCTGACTACAATCACTTCCGCCCGCATATACTTCGGATCCCACTCTTCGGAAGTTCTCCCTCAGAAACCACCTCTTACCCTCCACTCCAATTTTTATTACTGCAATCTTGCTCCAGAATTATCTCCATGGTCCCCTAACCTGGCTTCTCGTCTGCACAGACAATGCTCCACGCCTGACCCCATGCACTCAGACATTAGTAGCTTACCACAAAAAGAAATCACGTGTTTTTCACTTGCACAAAATTTTGCTGTGAGAAAAGGTCCAAAATGCTCAGCTGGGGACTCACCTGCTCTGCCCAGCCTCAACTCACAGTTCTTGCGGAGGCCCAAACTGAGCAAACCAGAAGGCATCATCAACGCTCAGCCTGCAAATGGCTGCACCCGCCGTTGCCTAGATGATCTCCCCAGTTTTTCAAAGCCTGGGTAACCAGGATACCTCATGCTTCCCCTTGAATTGTTTCTCCTCCACCCCACCCCCATGCATATATTTTTTTCTTAGTATCCGTTACAGCCCTGCACTTTTCAAATTAATGTACCGCTGCTGCCTGTCAGTTCCCTTAATTCAGCTGTGTCCCTCCACTGACCAACACAGGGCCCAGCACACAGTAAGTGCTTAAGAAACACGTGACAAATTGTCCCAAGCAGATGATGTATTATACCCGCTTTAAACAGCTGGGGCTTTCGAAGAATATTAGATTCTTCTTGTCTCGTTCCGGTTTTCTCTCCACTGGCTCATCTTTCACATATTGATTCTGAACAGCAGCGTCACAAGCATCCTGAGGGCATTCGCTGACCGCTCAAGCAGGAGGCAGGGAGCTCGGAAGGCACAGGGGCGATAACCCACAACCCTGCCCTCAAGGAATGGAGACCAAGGCGAAGACAAGCAGAGCTGAAGCAGCAAAACACAAATTCAATAAGGACTGTAACGAATGAGAGAGAAAAGCAGAGTGTGTTTGCTACTAAGAAAATCATAACAGAAAAGACCAATTAATAAGGCGATGTTGTCAAACGCTGTGGTAATTTTCATTATAACATTTTATTAGGCACAATATGATATTGATATTTTTTCATTGAGGATTACAATAAATTTCCCCACTAAATACATTCTTAATCCAGATGCCAGGCAATGATGCTGCCTTCCCTCCCCTTAAATCCTCATGGAGTTTAAAATCAACAGCGCTGATTTCAAATACAGGATGCACACAGTTATTTATAAAGCAAATCTGCTTTCAATATTGGGGCCATCAGAGCAAGTACTGTACATAAAAATTAAATGTGTTCTAACCTACACACACACACACACACACACACACACACACACACACACAAATCTCAATACTCTGTCCAAGATCTTTGTGGGTTCCAGATGGCCAGACGATGGGGATTGCAATGTCATGGAAGCAAAGTGCAGGGGGAAGGGCAGGAGAGGACAAAGGGCCACCAGAACAAGTCCAGTTTAGACTTTAGATGCCGCCATAACAGAGCATGAAGGAGGGGCTGGAGGCAGCCATCCAGGATACACACAGACCAGGAAAGTTCTCAACACCAGCATCCTCCTGGGTTGGGCACTGCTTAAAGAGTAAGAATATATCTCTGTCTACTGCAGGAGAAGTTGTTCCACTAACATCTTTCCTTACAAGATGAATGACCAACATTTCCCGGACCCTCTGTGTGTCTTCTCCAACTTGAGAATCTCCACAAATGGAGGTTTCCAGGCTCAGTAATGAGGTTGGTGAGAAAGTCTGGTTTCTAACCATGCCAGAGATGTCACTACTGCCTGGCCCTCCACCATGGATCATCTGTCCCCAAGCAGGAGACTCATCTTGCTGCAAGGCCACATGAGCCAAGCCAACATTGTGTGATCATGCAGCTACTTCTCAATCTGCCTGTGTGACACATATATATCCATGTATATAAGTGTGCATGTGCCATAAATATATATATATATATATATATATATTCACTGCATTGTCATTTCCTGATTGTTCAGTATTACCAAACTGGGGCTTCTACTCTTAGCTACAGTCTATCTCTTGAAGATCAGCTACTCAAAATCTGTATAAGTGTGTGTGAGTGCGTGTGACCCACACTATCACAATACAAATTAAGCGAAATAGATGCTTAATGGTATAATTCGCTCTTCAATGGCACTATTATTACAACATCACTCTATTTTCATTACCCATGCATATCAGAATTAACTTCCAACATGTTTGAGTGAGGAAATAAAACCACCTAATCACACTACCAATTAATTCTGTAAAAGTCATGCCATATATCAAAACTAAAATATGTTTGCAGCATCCCACAAAGACAAGATTCCACTCTTGGTTCAATTCCTCTTGCTTACTATGCCTCTATTTCTTCTCCACTTTGACCTATCGTAGTGCAATTACAAGCAAAATCAATAAAAGACCCTTAGCAGGTTTAATTGATCCTCGAAGAAAGGATATTATAATCCATCAGCACTCCCTCACCTCGCGCTAACATTATTTTCCAGCGTCTACGAAATACCATTGTGGTACCAATAAACCACTCTTTCTCACGCTGCTCTCTCATCAGCTCAAATACTGTAACAGCACAGCAATTTCAAACAGGTTGTGAGTCTCGGAGAGCACTGCTTGCAAAGTGCATGTAAATTATTAGATTACATTACAAGTGAAAGACTCAGCAGTGGGCCACCATAGTGGAGCATTAATGTAGAACAAGTTGAATGGAAACCTCATAGACAGGCTTCTCCAATGGGATTTTTTGGCAGGAAAGAGAAAGCGAGTAAAGGAGAAGGGAGGGCAAGGAATGATGAGATGCTGTGAAATGAGGCACCAAAGAGCACCGAGCATGGTGGGAAGGAAGGAGCTACCCCAGCCCCCACGCTGGGGAGGGGGCCAGCCAGCCAGGCTCCAGGAACGGAGGAGATGGTAGGCAGGGAGCAGCTAGGCACAAGCCCACCTCCTGCTCACTGAAGATACGAGAGGTAACCTCAGAAAGGCCCAACACATGGTGGGTGGGGCTGAACTTTAGGGATCTGTCCTAGCTTGGCAGGACCCAGCCCGCAGTGACGGAACTGAGATGAGGCTGGATCCCATCCCAGGACTGGAACTGGCAGCAAAAGGAACAGCGTCAGAACCTCCATGGATGCCCAGAGACGTTCATTTGTTTCACAGAGCAGCCAATCACAGTCAGAGAGGACACTCCCAGCAAAGAAGAATGAAGACTCAAGGGAGAGATGGGGAGGTGGCTGCTCTGTGTGTGCCTCGTGGTTACCACCACTGCTGCAGCCACATGCGCTGTGTGCAAGGCGCTTCCCAGGCATCAGGGCAGGAGGCTGCATTTCCACCATGCCCAGTTCGCAGGTGAGGACAGAAACCAAGGGATCCATGAACTTACCTAAGGTCACACAGCATTCCCAGCAGTTTGTCGCAGCCAGCAGAACGTCCTCTGTCTCCCAGCATGTCCCAATATGCGTGGTTCAAGAATGGAGCAAGCCTGAGCTTATGAGAGGCAGAAATGGGAATCCATGAGGCAGAAGCAGTCAAGAGTGGCCGGGTGGGAAATGAAGATGCAGGCGCAGGTGTAAGCCATTGGAAATGCGCCCAAAGCGCCACACAGGGCCGAGCTCCACAGGACAGTGTGGGATAGGTAACCTGCAGAGCACGTGAGTGCCTGCCTTATTCAAGGCACTGCACAGGGTGAAAACGTGAGCTGTGGTGTTTGCCCAGCAGAGGCCAGGCTCGTACCCAGCAAATGGCACTGTAAGGCAGCACGGAAGCAAGAGGCAGAAGAAGAGAGTTCCTTGGTGTTGAGGCAGGTACATGTGACCGACAACTGCCAAAGCCGGAAGTCTTGGGACATCTAGAGGGAGAGAAGATCTCATCCAGGGCTGGATGAGTGGGAGGATTTCCAACAAGCAAAGTGAGAGGGCAACTCACAGTAGGAACTGGACAGGGAGGGACAGGAGGGAGAGAACGATGCAGGCACATGCAGAGGCTCCACATGCTTACAAACTACACTACAACCCAACACTACTTCAACAGTGTTGGGTTGGAGGTGACCGGACACAGGTTACTCTGAGAAACACCACCGGGCCAGGAGGCTAGGAACCAGACTGCTCCTGTTTGCTCCTTCACCCCTCAAAGGCCAGAACAGTACCGGGCACAGAGAAAATGCTTCCTACACACTGGACAAGTAAAAGACCTCCTTGGGCTCGAACACAGTGACATCCACACTAAACACACAGGGGAAGGATCTCCACAGTCTAGGGCACATGCACACCTAAAGTAACAGGATCATAATAAGCATGTGCAATACTGAATAATTATAAGGATGTACGTTTTTCGGTCCTCCCTTGCCTCCTCCTTGAAACCGTAATGAGTGACACCTGGAGCTCTGTGGAAACTCGATTCCCTGGTCCTTCCCACTTCGAAGCCCTGAGCCTGGGAGGGCTGCACCTGCAGTTTCCAAATATGGGAGGGACAGTTCCTAAGTGTGGTGGGTCTTGGCCCATATTTTAAATCTTAGAGCAAAAATGACCGTGTAGCACAGGCAAAAGGTAAATGTTTTATATGAAAGTATTATGTGAAAATTTTATTTTTTTCTGTGCATGTATGTGTATACATGTATTGGTTCATAACATAGTTTTTTTTTCTCATTGTAGATCACAGTATAAGTGTTTCAAAGCTATCTCTGTAAAGGGTCATGAATTCACAAGCAGGACTTGTTTTTACCATTCAAGCTGAATGACCCTTGTTTGCTGGACAAGAGTGAGTATCCCAATGTTACAGGTCTTTCTGGGCTGTCCATCTTGTTCAGACAGTGTCAATCTGAACACTGTCCATCTTGAAACATGTAGAAAAGTCTATGGGACACATTAAATTAAGAAATAGTTCCTTTGAAGCAACCCCAATGTAACAACACACCATCAATTCTTTTGAAAAGCAATTTATTTTTTTCTAATTATAAAATTACATACATAATGCAGGCAGCTCAGAAAATCCAGAAAACACAAAGAAAAAGAAACAAACAGAAACCTAGCATCCACACATGACCACTTTATTATTACATCATTTTAGAATATGTGGATCCAAGTTAACTTATTGGTAGAATTCTATTTCACATACACACACACACTACAGTTTGGTACAAAAATGATGTGATCCTCTGCAAGCTGCAATAAATGCTGGAACTTTTCACCAGGCAGGAGATCATGACGTGTCCTCTGTAAAGAAATACTTTTCTACTGTCACCAGGTTTTTAGTGGCAGACTCTATCTCCGGTCTGCCCAATGAAGGCATAGCTTTGCTGGGGAGAAACACACGCTCTTGGGGCCCTTGGCTATGTCCAGCTGCATGGAGACTATTTGATTCCTACTAAATCCAAATAGGAGGTACTTTTACTGTGCTTTACAATGACTTACTGACATGGCTATACCTCACTAGCTACTTTCTAATTAATAATAAAAATGTCTACTGGGATTAAAAAAACAGTAACGAGCACAGACAATGTTCTACTTTTGACAAATAGCCAAAATGGCACACTTGCTTTCATACATATGTATGCCCTGGCACTGGATTAACTCGTGTTCTCATCTTCACGGCCTCAGGGGCGTTTCCTGAAAGCGTGAACTTGATCCTGTATGCTTTTGGAATTTCTGAGGATCCTGCCCAAGCACACAAGTAGAAAGAACACTTAATGAGAAAGTAGGAGACCTGGGGTCTGGTTGTCACCCTTCCTGGGAATATGATTTCCATATCTCACTAGGTTTCTATGAGCATCAGCTCAAACGGGTACCAGGCTAGAGAATGTGGTGCATAGCGTCCCTTCCAGCTCTAACATATCCTACTCCTAAATAGGACCAGTGGCAGCATCGGGAGTAGGCGACACATATTTGACTCACACTCTCAAGCACAGGTTTATGAAAGGCAGGCCTCAGAACATTCGAGAGCCCTTTGGGTACAGGTCAGTTCTTCTCCGGATTCTTGGAGGCTCCCTGTGCTTCCAGAAGGTCTCAGAACCTCACTAACCTCAGGCTGCCATCTCTCATATCGTGAGACCCGATGCCTTTGGGGTAAACAGCCTGGTCCACAGAAGCTGCCGGTTTCCAGCTTGCAGCACACATGTTTATCCGCTGGGCAGTGGTGGTGACATAGAGCTCTAGCAATTTCACACCTGTCATCATCAGTCAGCTAATCAGATCACTAAGAGAGGGGTCATTCTGGATTATCAAATTATTTCATCTGCCTCTGCTTCCCCAATGCTTCATTACCTGGACAATTGAGAGTTACGGGCAACCCACCCTCCTAGCTGTCTGTCTCTTCAGATGTAATGACCCTGTCACACGAATGTTCCTGGGAGGACACACGCTGTATGTCACGTGGCCTTTCATCATCCACTGGTTTTATAACTGGAAAGTGAAAATGAAAAGCAATGCATTTTATGTGAGAGGTTTGAGGCTAGCTAAATATACACATTTCCTCTGTGATTGGATGGTGAAAATCCATTAATTTCCACAGTTACTCCTCCCCATGACTGGCGTTCGTTACACGGGATGACATAAGCCTTCTAGCTTCCAGAAGGGCAGAATCACATGTGGTTGCTTTCTCTCTCTCTTTGTCCATTTCTCCAGACTTCTTTAAAATGAACTGGAAGAGTCAATAAAATCCTCAGCAATTCCCCAGGCACCCTGGGAAGCAGATCACGGTGCCCTTCAGACCTGCTCGGGCTGTTTCTCCAAGTATTCCCTTACCTGCCTTTGTCAATTGGCATTCTCGACAAGTTCGTCAAAACTTCTCAGTGTCAAGGTTCCTCTTTTGACTGCCCTTGTTAAAGATAATTTAAAATTAGAAAGTCACATTCCCAGCCATTTCACAGTCAATGCTAATTTCATTTTCTTTTGCACAAACATCTCTCTTTCCCTCTAGAGAGTCCCTGCCTTCATCCAGCCTCGGGTTGGCAGCCCCAACAGACATTCTTAACACCTCTACACATTGCTCTGTTCCCACTCGGCACCTTCCTTATCTCTCTCCCAAGTACCTTGCCCAGTGAGATACACTTGAGCTTGGGGTTCTCCCTCCACGTCAGAGAGAAATGTCTGTGTCTACAGATTGGAAAGTCACCTTCCGGAGAAAAGCATCCTATAGGCAGTCAATTAATCAGGACAAGACAGGGAACATTACGTTGGGCACAGCTTGGGATCTCGATATAGACATTTATGTTAGGGACATCAAAAGGATTTCTCCCACAATCCCTAAAATTCATACTTATGCCTCTTGTTTGGCTATAACTAATTCCCCACCTAACAACACAGTGGTTAGTAGTCTAGAATTCTTTAGACAGTGATTACCATATTTTATTATAGATTCTAGCAGTGCTCTCTCATTCTTTCCCCTTTTTGGGAAATTTCATCTCTATTCTTTGCAACCTGCCTGTTTATTATTGGTATTATTCTTTGCTTATAAAGTAAGTCAAGTGATTTTCTATTCTATTATTTTTAGTTCCATGTCTGGTTTGACACAATGATTTTAAGCCTGTCTCTCTCCCCCACCCCTTAAGCAGACTCAAACGTTCCCATTCCTCTCACGTGCTCAATCCCATCAAGTTTCAGAGTCTCATCTATATACAATTTTATTTCTCCTCACTTCTGGCGCACACGCCTACCACTTACGTACAGCAACTTCGCTACTCATATTTCATACACTTCATCAGTATTCTGCCCAATCCTCCCCCAAAGTAAGCTAGGTATTTTTAACAGGGCACTGCTTCTTTAGTTGACTTGAGGACCCCATACTAAGTGGGGACCTTCCCTGTACCCTGGAAGGCTTCATCTGTTACAAGGTGGGTATGATGCAGAAACTTCCTAATTATTTCAGAAAACTTTAAAGATAGAGTTCACAATCAAAATGTCAACACCCAATAATATGAGGATGCTTCAAGGCTGGGGGGTTACACATTCTCTGTACTGTAATGTTTTTTCACTGTTCCCAAACTCTGGTGGAATTCCAGGGAAACACCCCTAGTATAGAACCAACCTCACTCGGGGGCAGCCTGGAGTCCCCCATGCTTCACAGCCGGCAGAACCTGTACCCAGCATCAGTGGGCCCTGCAAAGGCCTCCCAAGAGGGCCCCAGTTCTGGGGCCAGAGAATCACGAGGAAACCACGGCACCGTACCATCATTAATGAGCCACCGTGTGTAATGTGGTAAGGCAATATGCAGTAACGGGTCACATAAAGCCATCAAAATTTCTAAGGAAAAAAAAGGACTCCTTCTCCCAACACAAGGGGATGGGTACTTGTGGTATCTCTTAGCACGAGCATGTAGGAGCTGGAGCAAAGGGCCAGCCAGCCTACACCATGAACTCTGCCACATTTATCCCTATGCCATTCCCATTCTTCTTATATTTCCCTTTTCTAAAGATTTATTTGGGCAATCTCCTTGATGTCTACCCCAAAATAATAATGATAATAATAACAGGTTGTCAGAACCCCCAAACCAAACTGCCAACACAACGCCCTCTGAGTGCTGACAAGATAATCAGAGATGAGCGTCAAATCCGGGAGGCAGCTGGAAGGGCGGGACCCTCTGCCCTATCTCGGTGGTCCCAGGGAAGCTGTCCATGCACAAGGCTGAGCTTAGACACTGAGCTGCTGCCCCAAATCCAAATGCGCCATGTTGATATTTTGGCAGCTCTTTGTTCTAACCCCAGAGCTTCCTCATTTTCAGGATTAGGAGCCTCACACCAAGAAAGACTTCAACATACATGAAGAAGACGTAAACCTGGCAAGACTATCTACCATACCTACCACTAGAGAGGGGGGAGATTATATCGTGTTACAGTAAGAAAGTAAATACATGACTTATGTGAACATCACAGCCTTCCTCAGTATCTAAAAACAATTTTGCATCTTCTACAAGAGAAAGAATAAGAGAACTGTAGATGCTGGGTGAAAATTTTCTATGAAATAAAAGCCTCAATTAAATAGAACCTACTGAGTTTTCTGAACTGCTACTTGTAACTTAGAAAACAAGGGAGGAAAGGAAGAAAACATGCTTCTGCTACGGATTTAGCATAAAAGAAAAGAGAATACAGTTTCCAAACTGAGATCAAGACAGATTTAGTCTGGCCTCTGACACTTTCTCCATTCATGGTCTGTAACTTACAATCGGAATTCCTCAAGGCAGCGACACTAGAGCCCTGTAAGACGCTCAAACCCTAAGGAAAGATCGATTATATTCTCAGTGCACTTCTGAGGGTAGAAAAGGGGATCAGCACATTTAAAAAGCATATTTAATAAGGAAAAGATCAAAAAATATTTTGAGTTAATCTACACTAATCAGAAAAATCAATTCATCAGTAACGCACTGGTATTCTTGAAGAAAAATCATGGTTTACAGCATGTTAATCAACACTTAAGTGTTGATGATCAGGAGATGGCTTTTTCTTTTGAAGCATTAATTCAAAAATGATAGTTTTATTTTTTAACAAACAGCCTAAAAGGATGAGTTAAAAAAAATTTGAACAATTCGGTTCCAAACCAACACCTTCATTAATTAGATTTTCAAAAAACCATGGAAAAGATGAAAGAGAGGAAGGGAAAAGAGAGAAGACACAAATTCTGAGTCAGGAAGACAATCCTCCTATGCAGAAGGGTGTCTTCCATTCTAGGTTTCTGATCACTGTAATGATTAGGAACCTTCCTTGCTTTGGAAGAATTTACTGCTAATCTGGGAAGAATTTTTTGCTAATCTGGGAGGAATAGTCCAGGGGTCTCCTCCAGGGAGCTGATAAAAGCTTCAAAGTCCCTGCACAACATCTCATGGAAAAACAGAGGGCAACCAGTAGGGGACATCATATTGCAAGATATATATATACATATATATTCATATTCCATATCTCTGTATGTATTCCATATATATATAAACATTTCATATCTTCCATATATTTTATATATATTTATCTCCCATATGCATGTGTGTGTGTATTGCTCTACACAAGGCAAGCCACAATACAACTTTTTCACTAGACCCCTAGAGTAGAGTGATAGATTCTGTTTCCTCAGACACAGAAGTCCACACAGAAACCAAAAAAGAGCACAACTTGCCAAGTGGACCAAGAGGATGAGGGGGGAACGCAGGATCCCCCATAAAATGTGGCCTATGCTTTCAGAGTCTCTCCCATCCGAACACGATTTTCAGTAAGGCGCAGTTCAGCCTGTCATCCCACTTCACTCCTCAAGCTCCTAAATGCAGAAGTGGCAGAGTCATGAAAACACACTTTGACTCAGAAGTGACAATGGACAGCCCACTGGCCTTGGGGAGCCACAGCGGGGACTGCACCCACCCGTGCAGCCCGAAACACACAAGCAGCAAGGTCTCAGGTGACCAGGCTTCAGCTGGGCTCCCAGCTGCTTCAGCTGCAGAGACAGAGGCACTGTCTAAAAATCCAGGACTCCTCACACTGCTTTTGGAAAATTCTAGCAGGTGACGAACATAAAAAAAGGTCTGCTCTAAATGTTTTAGTCACTCAGGGCTTGAATTCTAGATTAATAATTCAATTCCTTTTACGAAAGAAGGAAAAGCAACAGAAAAGTTTATCATATCTATCATGTAATGCATTTTCTAAATTTATTCTATTACATTTTTAAAGGGTATAATTATAAATGTTTTTATGAGCAATTTACCAGAAAATTAAAGTCCTTGGGTTTAAAAAAATCATCATTTCATCTCTCTGGCAAAAGATTTCCCCCAGCCAGTAGCATTTTCAAACTACAGAGAGCTATGTCCACACTAGAAACGTGCATCTGAGAATTCATTTCTAGAAAGGGCACTACACTGCCAGGTAGAGAACCTACTAGAAAGGCAGTCAGGGGAGACCGAAGGGCAGAAAGGAGGGAGCACACTTTCAAAGTCAAGGAGTTGTAAGGGTCCAGACGTCCCCAGGGCTAGAAATATACTGCAGGCCCCATTAACTGCTTCTAAGTCAATCTAAACTGAGCTTGTGCAGGCTCCCTTCCCAGCCCAGCTGAGCTTTTCAGAGTTAATCCCACCTCTAGGTTTCGATTTTTCCCCTTAGGTTGGCCTGCCTAAAAGCCTTCCCCCTTCCACACCAGCACTGCTATCCCACCGGCTGGTGCCCACCCCTGAGACAGTAAATTTAGAGCAGTAAAGTACGTGAGCTTCTGGCATGCAAAGCAAAACAAGACCTGGAAAAGGGTTTTTAACAACAGTTATGTCACAACACTCATGGCTCCCTCAAGTCCCAGAAAACCTTGTTAAATTAAAGATTCGTTGTGGGTTTTTGGTTTTTTCCACTTCATTTTTACTTCATGTATTTCCTTCCTTTTTCCTGTCTTTCTCTCACACCCCTTTCATTGTTCCAGAATGATGGGACCAAAAGACATCAACCATCATTAATAAGACCAAGCCAAAGGGTTTCCTGACCACTGCTACGGTTCCCTGCAGCTGTGGGCATGGGGAAAGCCATCTCTCAGATCACCAAGTCACCCATCTGATTTCGGGTGCTCTGGGCATTAAAGGTATACAGTCCCTTCATACCTGGACTCTCAGGAGGGAAGGAGGAATCCAACAATATCCTCAAAGCTATCTAGGCAATGTCTTATGAGGTCACCTCAATGTCATGAGAATTCAGACCACAATCTTGGTGAATTTCAAATGCTGGCTAATGGGAGGCTAACCTGGGACCCTCTGAAAGGAGTATTCCAAATCACGACACTTTCCTTTTCGCCCAATGCCAAGAACTCCATTCAACCCTCTTTGAGGTGGAAAATGCTAATTATAAGTTGGTGATGCTTGCTTTTCCTTCCCAGTCATAAGCCTTTATGTTTTAAGTATTTAAGAGGCGTAATCACCTCGTGTGTAGGTTAATTTCTTTACGATATTGTAATTTATGCAACATTAATACTGGATGCCAGCTCCAATTTTCTTACTGCTTACACTCTGGAAGCCGACTTGCATATTCTGCCAACTCCATTACATCATCTGAAAACCCAAACATTTCCTATTTTCAAATCACTCTCAACTATCAGGCATACTTACACATTCTCTCTTCTCTCCCTTGCTGGATCTCTCTCTCGCACACCACACACACACACACACACACACACACACACACACACAAAGACTGGTACCCCTGAGAGCAGACGCTACATCTGAGGTCGAAGTCTGCAAAGACACCTAATTTCTGGAAGCTATTCTACTGCTGTGTTAGCTAAAGGATGCTTCCATCTCTGACCTTCCTTTTTCCATTCAGACTGTTACATAACCCGTGCCTGCGTGCAGGATGTGAGTTGAGTGTTTGGGCCCTACCTCCCCCTCCCATTCAATCTCCTAAGAGCAAGGGACAGGGGTTTGCTCCAAGAATGAGTGGGGATGGTGCTCCAGGGGGCCAGGGGAAATGGGTCAGGAGGTCAGCTGTGCGAGATGCGCCTGGCTATTTGTCCCTCCCCCCTTCTCACGGAGCTTATGGGGCTGGTGGGACTGAATGCCCCGGCGTTATATAATTTGCAGGAACAGCAAGTTAAGGATTTGCCAGTCGGTTCTGCAGCCTGCCACCCCTATCTCTCGCAAGAACACCTTCTGGCAAGAATGACACCTGAAGGCTCTAATAACACACGGAAGGGGAGGGGCTAAGAAAGAAGGGGTATCAGCACAAACCAGAAATCAGTGTGGCTTCCCATATACTACGCTGCCCTTTCTTTAATAAAAACAAAAAAGCCACAGAAACACATGAAGGGGATTTTCTCCAGTGTTTCTGATTAACCCTGTTACATAACCCTCTCGCATTCCAAATCCACCGTCTCAGGGTCTAAATATACTCTTTGCAGTCCAAAGCTCTCCACACGCGAACTCACCCAGCCGGCGGCAGGTCTGGCCCCCAGCCCTCTCCCCTCTGCGTGGCGTCCCGGCCCGTGCTGCCCCCCTCCCACGCCAAGCGCGGTTCGCTGTGGTCACTCTTCAGAAATCGCCTTTAATTAAATGTTTTTCGCGTGTGTCATCCTGATGGCTTTTACTGTACTCGAATTCCGTGAATGGGAAAGCGCCCGGACTGGGGGTGTGGCCAAGGTGGGGAGAGGGGGGGTACTGTAAAACAGCCAGCACAGGATCAGCCATATTCCTACCTCCAACTATGCCCGCGGGGAGATGGGGAGCGGCTCCCGGCCCGGCCTCCCCAGCCTCCCCCCCGCCCGCCGCCGAACGCCCGTGCCCAGAGGAGGGTCGCGCGGGCCGGTGTGCGGCCTGGGTGAAGAGCGCCCGCTCTCCGGCTCCCGCGAGCCAGCGTCCTCCTTCCGAGTGCCCGGCGTGATTTATACATTATTTACAACAGTAATTAAAGCGGTAGCTTCCGCTTCTTCTTTGCAAACTCCAGGCGCATTCAAATAATCCCCCACCCCCGGCGTGGGGAACAAAACCCACAGCAGGTTCCCACACCTTTAAGGGAGTAAGCTCTCCCGACAGCTTACTTTACCTAGGAAAACGCCAGAAGCCACGGATCCCCTCCCTCCTGCAACACACACACATACACACACACACACCAGAATGAAGTGTACAAATCGCCCAGGGAGGGAAAATCACTCCAACTGTCCAACCATCATTCGACTCGCCCTGACCCATCCCCAGATTCTCCCAGACTCGCCGGGAACCTCCAAGGGGGGAGAGAGGAGCATTCCCCGGGCAGAACTAAGTTTGGGTGCCCAAGGAGCTTTCTATTGGTGACCGTCTGCTTGGGTGGCTGCTGCCTCCCAGACTCGTGGGGCGCCCGGGCGCACACGCCCCCCGCCAGCCGTGGCGCGAGGCTTGCAGCCCTGGCTCTAAACTTGCGCAGCGCACAACTTGGCGAGCACCTCGCGCGCCTGCACCCCACTCGCTGCCTCGGGCCTCTCCCCCAGCCCGACACCCTTCGCCACGCTCCGGAGGAGGTGCCCGGGTCGCCCCCAGGCTCCAGCGGCGCTCCCTCTCCATACCCCGGCTCCCCACGTCGCTCCGCCATCCGCGCCCCCCTCCCCAAGCTCTAGGAACACACACACACTCCGGCTCCGCAGCAGCGGCCGAAACTGACAAGAAGCGAAAGGTGGAGGAGGAGGGTGGACACGAAAGAGATTTTTGTTTTCCTTTTAAAAGGACACTGCCGCTTTAAAAGTTTCTTTCCCGGGCCCCCACTGCCCAAAGCTCCGTGTTTTGGGGGAGCGAATTTAATGTGGGCAGCGCGGCTCTTCTCCTGTCTTTGCAAAAATAAAAAAAAATGAAAAAATTTAAAAAATCAAAGCCAGGGGTCGCGTCCGCCGGCTGTCAACCCCGCCGCCGCCTCCCCGCCCCCTCCTCCCAGGAGCCCAGCACGGGCTGCAAAAGTTTGCAACATTTCTGGGGGGCGACGGGGGGAGGGGCGGGAGCGGCGGACCAGGGGCGCCGCCGCAGGAGGCTCGCGCGCGCCCCGGGACCCCGCGCCCCGGGCGCCGCCCCCGGCCGCCCCCCGCCCCGCCGCCCCCTCCCCAGCCCCGCTCGCCGCCTCCTACCTCGGCTGGCGCCGGAATAGCTCTGTCTGCGCCCGGGCGCGGGCGGCTCGCTCTTGCGGCCGGATTCCGGGTGCAGCGGGGTCTCCCTGGAGCCCGCGGCCGCGTCCGCGCCGCTGCTGCCCGGCTCGCTGGCGGCGGGATCGGGGGCTGCCGGAGCTGACTCCATGTTTTTCCCAATGTAGAGATCGCTGGAGATGGCGAGCTCCGAGACTCCCTCTATCTTCTGTTTTCAGAGCGACTCTATGGTACCAAAAAAAAAAAAAAAAAAAAAAAAGGGAGAAGGAGCCCGGCGAGGGCAGGAGGAGAGCGGGCGGCGGCGGGCGAGCGCGAGGGAGCGCGCGGCGCGCCGGGGGACGGCGGTGTGCGCCCCGTGCGGGTGGCGGCGGCTCTGGCCACAGGCAGCGCTAGCGAGAGCCGTGCAGCCGGCCCCCACACCCACACTCCCCACCCTCCAGACCCCAGACCGCCAGCCGCCGACTGGCTGCCGATTTTGGGAGGTGGGGAAAAGAGGGGGAAGAAGGGGGGAGCGCCTCCTGCGCCCTAGTCCTCCCCTGGGCTCGGCCCAGGGACAGAAATGAAAATCGGAGGACGGTGGTGTGTCTACTTTTGAGACTCTCTCGGGAGCAGAACTCGCCCCATCCGCAGCCAGCCTGGGAGGAGACAAACCCGGGAACACGCGTGGAGGAATCGTAGGTAGCTCCCCGCCTGCCCTGCCCTACCCAGGACTGCCAGGAGACAGGAGGAATTGGAAGCCCTAGAATTGAGCAGGATGGGGGACGTGGCACTTTTTACTCTGGATGGGACGGCCAGTAGGTTTCCAATCTTGGTTAGACAGCCTGGTCTGAGACAGACTGTGGGAGCCTAGAATTGCCATGGACAGCCAGTTTCTGGCGTGGATGAAAGAGGTCGTTCTGAGCTCGTTTGCTGTTTCCTCGGAGAACGATCCAGAAACTATTTGGCAGAGCACTTGCTACCGAAGAAAACTTTGGCCTCTTTGGTCGGTGACTATCTAAACTAGATGAAATAAGCCACACATTGGCTGCTGACTGACGATTCCCACTGGCACTTTTGCAATTAAATGCACGGTCTCATCCATACAAGATAAGATGTTGGAGAGGTATTAATAATACCTCGATGATAAATTCAGATAATTAACAGCTCCTTGTGAGTTGTGTCCTGGTAGGCACCACTGTCACCCTGCTCTCACCAAAACACTCCCATACAAACTTAAAGAAACCCAAGAAAACCTGAGGATTACATTAATGTCTTCACCCCAGAACTTCAGTATGAAGGAGACCCAGCAGCTGGAAGATATTCGAAGGGTAGTAGCCTGATCCCTGCCTGGCCTGTCAACCCATCATTTCCTTTTGCCTGCGAAGACACTGAAGAAATCAGTCCATTTTTAACACACACCCCCACCTTCCTTTCAGAAAACTTGAAAATTTTGACAATAAAGAATATTATTACATACCAGAAGGTGGCATAAATATGAGTGTCTAAGGGAGTCTGGTGGGGGAGACAAGTGTGAAACCTGTTTTCACTAACCTCCTGCTTTGGAAAAAATGCTTTTAAAAATAAAGGGTGGGGGCAGGACCCAGTTAGGTAAGGGGAATCTCCATGTGCTAAATTTCCCACAGGATTCAGATGAATATCACTTATCTTGATCTGACTGCAAATCCACAGTCTTCTCACCCTGGTCTGTGCGTTATTCAGCAAACTTGTGATCTACTCTTCAGGGTGATGCAAATGCGATGTGAACAGTTCTGATACCTTAATCCGGTCTCTGCAAGGATCCCTGGTTTTTGCCTGTCTGTTGGCGCCTACACACAATGCCATGATTGTCTCTGCTGTCCCAAATCAGATGTGTGGGCTTCCCTGCATATCAAAGCTGAGATTTCCAACCCAGCCTTCACATCATTTGCCTGTTAATAATGTTCTTGATGCAGTTGACCCTCGTTGATCCACTTGACTTTTCTAAGTAAACAAGGACTTCAAAGTGTGTGGTTTAATAAACAGCTTCCTCTGGGAGAGCGAGCATCTCAAAAGTCATGGACTGCCCCATGTTTATTTTGGAATATTAGAAAATACTTTTATATTAAGTTTCACCAATAATTCTATTTGGGATGCAAGTAGCTGGAAAAGTATCCCCGGAAACCTGTTAACATATTTTTTGGTTAAATCTGTTCCCCTGGGTGCTCAGTTGGTTGTCTTAGTCTTCTTTAACTAAGGTGGGATTTGGCCCCTCTCAATAGATTTTCCAGGAAAATGGCCCTTGTGACCTTAAGCAATTAAGAGAGACCATACACCCCTCAGAGAGACAGCCCAGCCCCCTAACAACCATTTCACCTAACTAAGAAGATTACTGCTTTCCCAGTTTAAAACAATGGGGAATGTGACTGCTTTCCCCAAGGGAAAAATAAAAGTGAGTTAGATACATTGCTTGAGTGTCAATCATTGTTACGGAAGTGTAAATTACCTGGATTGCCTAAGTGTTTGGAATCTGAAAAGCACAGTGATTAGGTTTACATTTCTTTCCTCCCCTCATGCTCCTTTCCTGATTACCAATTAAAACTTTCCAAATTTCCAAATATTTGGAGAGACGGGAGCCTTCCTTACATTTTCCTCCTTGACTGTGTGTGCTTACAAATGGTTATTTTACTTTGTACCACTGACTCTTCTGACAGGCGAAGGTTTAGAAGAGCTGTGCTTTGTAGAAGAAATAAGCCTAAATCCAGGGTTGTTTCTTTGTGTTTGCCATTCTTCCTACTCTCCCTACCCACCATTCTCCCACTCTACACTAACCGACTCTCTCCCCTCTGCCTGGTTCTCCCTCTCCTTACATCTTACCAGGCTGTATAAATTGTACTTTATGCCATCTGTCCTTCCTTCCTGCATGCATTCGGTTCCAGACATTACCGTGTACCCAGACCATGGAGGTAACCTTCCAAGCAACTGGCCTTCTGTCCCGTAACCTCTCTACTCCATTCCAGAGAGCACTGCCAAGTTAATTACCCTGAACTACAGTGCTGTTTCCCACCATGTCACTCCCCTGCTTGCAAGACTTTAATGGCTCCCCATTGCCCGTCCAATTAACCACTAACTAGTCAACAAGGTATTCAAGGCTCTACCTCACTTATCACTGTCCTCCTATACCAAGGATGGCAAGTGGATCTCATGGGGGAGGTGGAGACTCCTGAGGTTGGTTGCAAAGAAGTGCACTGAGATTGATTAATGCTGTCTCCCTTGGGTGGCGGGCAGGAAGTAATGACTCTCAGGCCAGTTCAGTTTGCCAGAGCGCTTTCCACCCTTACATAATCTTACATAACCTCCACAATGCACAAGATCTCTACAATGCAGGCCACACTCCACTGCTTCCCCCTCCTCCCCTCACTCCACCCGTCCCTTCCTCCTCCATCAGTCTCTTCACATGAATGCCCTTGCCACCTTAGTGCCCTCACTGTCTTCCCGGTATACTGAAAACTACCTTTCTTTCAGGGTTCCTTCAATATGATGACTCCTCTGTGACGCCTTCCATGATTCACTCCAAATCAAATACAGTATTTGAACTGAGTGCTTTGTATCCATCCCTCCTAAGGAACTGATATGTCTCATCGACATTGTGGTGCACCTGCATTAGCATTTCCTGGGGGAAAATATATATCCTACAAACAGGGATTGTGCCCTTGCACACAGTAGGCACTCATTAGAGTTAGTGGATTTGTGGAATGCAAAGGATGAACTAATCATGAAGTATGTCCACACGGTGATTCCATTATACAGCAAGAATGAAAACCTGAGCACTGCAACTTTCAATCACTTGAAATAAGCTTTTCCTTTCTGGGATAAAAGATTAGTTGACATGTATGGGCTGTTAAAATTTATATATGCAAAAAAGTTGACAGTTATTTTCTTGCGTTTCTTGGAGAGAGAAGAAAAATGATGGAAATACATAGCAGAATTTCCTTGGGAGCGGGGAGCTTTCTGTAACACGCATAAGAACAAAGAAGACAGAAAATTAAAACTGAGCGCCTGGACAACAAGGTTCCTTATTTAAAGCAAAACAAAACAAAAGACGAAAACAACCCACAGAGTAGCTGAAGCTGGGCCATATGCTGAAAGAGAAGAAACTAACCGGAAGACAATGCTGCCCTGCTCTTGGGCATGGCAGGGGCTTCTTCCAACTGCAGAGTTTGTACTCAGGATGGCCGCCCACCGCCCACCCAGGAGAACCAGGGTCAGAAGAACCTTTTGTCAACCGCGCGGAGGCAGCAAGAAGCTGAGGTGCTCCTGCATGGGAACAGGGGAGTCAAGTTTGCTAGACAGAGAGAGGGAAAGAGGAAGGCGGAAGCAGGTAGTGCCCAGCTCACTGCATAGACGAGGACCCCAAAATCCAGACAGGTGACTTGCCTCAAGCCACCTAATTCATCAGCTTCATTAATTTTATATTGGTTGCATGTTGAATAGCCACGGCTTGAGTCTATGAGGGCAAATGAAGCACTTACACAGAAGATACATTTAATTTGTTATTTTGTGTCTCATTCACTTCCATAGTTTTGTATAATGCACCTTAAGAAAGGTCTTTTTTATGTGTGCCATCTGGCATTGAAAGTTATATACATACATAAAAACTCAAAGGACCTTCTAATGATTTCTGAGGACCATATAAAGGTCTCTTTCAAGGGGCAAGGTGTTTTCTGCCATATAGTTTGGGAAAGAGGTATCTGAGGTTGATAAGAGCCAGACATCAACTTCATCTATCTTTTTTTTTTTTTTTTTTTCTGAGACATGGTCTCAGCCTGTAGCCCAGGCTGGCCTTGAACTCATGAAAATCCTCCTGCTTCAGCCTCCTGAGTGCTGGGATTACAGGCCTGCCCCACTACAACCAGAAATTTTATCTCTTTTTAACTCTTTCAAAATTTACCCACTAGAAAATTTTAAATTCCTACATCATTTACATTATATAGATGTAATTTCCAGGGTCAGAATGGAATGTCTCTGGCAGACAGTAGGTGTGTAATTGTTAGGATTCAGCGAGAGGCATCCTGGGACAAAGCTTAACAAAATCCTGGAAGGGTCTTGAGGCTATAATGTTAAATGAGATACATCAGACACAGGAGATAAAATGTTGCATTGTTTCTCTGATATGTAAAACCCAAAATATAATTTAAAGAGCAGACTAAAGGAGAGATGACAGGGAGAGACATTTTGGAGCAGAGGCAGGGAAAAGCAGTAGAAGGAAGAAAGAGAGTGGGATAAAAAATGATCAAGATACTAGCTAGATGATAGATAGATAGATAGATAGATAGATACTAGTTCCCCAAGACAAATGTATTACTATGCATCAAAAACATGCTCTAATA